TAAGTCCCTGGCACACAGGAAATGCTCGATAAATGGTGGCTTTCCTATGGTATCACCATCATTATCTTCTGCTGAAAACAAACTTAGTGAATGACTCATACTGCATAGTAGGAGCAGAGTTGACACCTACAACAGGTAAGAGAGGCCCCATTGTGTCCTTATTCCTGTTCACTAGGTGAAGCCACTTGCTGAAGCCACTGACTTTCTCTCCCTCCCCAAGCCTCCCTCCCCCAACAAGTTCAGAAACCTAGAAATGTGTCAGAGCCCATACCTGCGTACACGAATACATCATTAAGCCACTTAAGGGTTCTGAGGGACAGTTTTTAATTTTATAAATGCCATGGTAAGTCCGGTGGACTTTTAGAGATTAGAACTAAAACAATATATGCATGAAAATTCCTCAGGATATCGTTGACTGGGCCTTTCTCTCTTTCTCTGTCTCTGTCTCTGTGAGTGTCTCTGTCTGTATCTCTCTCGCACACACACACACACCTCTCCATCTCCGCCTCAGCAGCCCAAGCCCCCATTATCCCTCACTTGGTCAGCAATCAGCTCCTCGCTGGTCTCCCTGCCTCCTCTTTTGCTTTGCATCACGGGACTTGCCGCCCTCCCTTCTTTCAGCTGCTTGAACTCCCTGCCTCGGGGCTTCCTCCCTTACCCCACTCTGCCTGGAACACCTGCCAACTCCTCACCCTGCCCTCATCCCCAATTTTCCCATGGCTGGCTCCTTCTCTTCTTTTTGGTTCTTGGCTCCAATGGCCACCTCCTCAAAGTCCTTTCCTAACAAATTTACCTAAATTGCCTCCTCCCTCCCACCCCCACCATCCCTTCCGTGACAGCACCACATTCGTTTCCTTCAAGGCATTTACCATGCATTTACCACAATTTGTGATTGCTTCTCCTTTATTGTCTGCCTTCTGCTCTAGACTGTGAGCCATCTGGCAGGTTTTCATGGACTGAATGTTTGTGTCCCCCCAAAATTCATATGTTGAAGCCCTAACCTCCCAGTGTGACTGTATTTGGAGATGGGGCCTCTAAGGAAGTACAGTCATGCACCGCGTCACGACATTTCAGTTGGTCAGCAACAGGCCGCATATATGAGAGTGGTCCCGGAAGATTAGTACCATATCACCTAGGTGTGTAGTGGGCTGTACCATCTAGGTTTGTGTAAGTACAGGCTATGATGTTCATACAACAACAAAATCGTCTAACGATGCATTTCTCAGAACATATCTCTGTCGCTAAGCAATGCATGACTGTAATTAAGGTTAAATGAGGTCATAAGGGTGGGTCCCTGATCTGATAGGATTAGTGTTCTTATAAGAATAAACACCAGAGAGCCAGCAAGCTCTCTTTCCAGCACACACACCAAGGAAGACCATGTGAGGACACGGGGAGAAGGCGGCCAAGCCAAGAAGAGCTCTCACCAGGAACCAATCCTGCCAGACCTTGATCTGGGACTTCCAGCCTCCAGAACCGTGAGGAAACAAACATCTGTATTTGAGGCCCCCAGCCGTGGTCTTCTGTTATGCAGCTCTAGCTAAGACACAGGCACTTGCTTTGTTTGTTCATCACCTTCTCCCCAGTTCCCGCCCTAGCACTCGTCACATGGCGGGGATTTGGTAAATATTTGTTGAATGAGTGAATCTTCCCATTTGTACTGCATTTCAAGGCACCTGGGAAATGGTGAAAGCAGCAGGTCCTGGAAATCAAGAGACCTGAGCTGGGTTATAGTCTCGGTCTGCCATGGCACCACTATTAACTCATTGTGTCCCTTCCCCTCTCTGGGCCTCAGTTCCCAGACTGGTAAGATAGTACAACTCAACAAGATGACCTTTCAAGTCCCTCTAGTGATAAAATCATACAATAAGAGTAGCTCCCCTCTCTGGGGCACTGACTGTGACCCAGGCACTGTACTTGTCCCTTTTCTCATTTACTCCTCACTCCTGCCTCGAGAGGTAAGGGTACCTTCGTCAGCATTTCACAGATGAGGAACACCACGGCATAGAGCAGCAAGCTGCCAGAAAGGGGAGGCACGCTCTTAGCATTAAAAACATTGTCCTTTATCCTGATATTGTGTCCTTTCAGCTTTTGGGGGTTGAAACATTCTTTCTTTTAAGACATGACAGTGATATTTTTAAGGTCCTTACAGAGGAAAATGAGAATTTGGCCATCTATGCCAGTCTCTAAAATTCATTTGGAAATTTGATTGATGCATGAAATCCCAAAGTCTTGAACCCCATAAACTATGTACATGGAAGGTTTTTTTAAAATTAATTATTTGGAGTTTCCACTATGCATTAAGCATGGTAGGTGAACACGGGGATAATTAAACTACAGCTTCAGAGGCACATTCCAAGAGGCCTGGATTCAAATCCGAGCCCTGCCTCTAGTACTGAGTCACCTTAGGCAAGTGAAGTTATCTCTCTAAGCTTTGGTTTCCTTATCTGTAATATAAGGGTAATAATCATGCCTACCTTATGTAGCACACTTAGCCTAGAGCTAGGCACACAGAATAGACTCAATACATGAGAGTTATTATTATTATTATCTGCAGGGGGAAGAGACAGAGTAATCAGCCATAGGCTATGAAGACGCACCTGGGGGAATGAGGGCGGGGTGATGAATTCCATCTGGGTAGGGATTTCATTGTCGCTTCTTCCAGCGCAAAGGAATACTTGTGTTTACTTCCACCAAATTACACAACCTCAGAGAAAGCATTTCCCAGCTCACTGCCTCGGTTCTCTAATCTGTTAAAGAGGGGGCAATTCCTCCCAGCCCATGGAACATCAAACTCCAGCCAGTAACAGAACCACCTGGGAAACTTGGTAAAAATAAAAAGGCCCAGATTATCCCTTCTTCAATGAGTCTGGGTCTCAGTGTGCTTTATTATCTCCCCCAAATGATTCTGATACACTTCAACTTTCGGAACCGCCATGAAAGAATGAAAGAAACAAGGCCCTCTGTTTACTCTGAAGGGTCATAGAAGATTATTATCATTATTTAAAGCCCATTAGTTCCACCCTCTACAGAGCTGTCAAGTGCATAGCTGTCCTCACACCAGTTGCATTTGCCCCAACTCAAGGGAAGCTGGGTCTGCATCTCAGGCTCCAGTGGGGATGAAAGGCACAGGCCCTGGGGTCCTCATTCCTCCAGAAGTCCTCTCCCTTCTAATATCCATTTCACAAAGCGGGAATAGAGGAGCAATACTTTTTCCAAGGTCACAAGAGCTTCATGGTAGAGCCACAGCAGAAGCCAGAGCTACATATGTGTGGGCTGGTGTTCAAAGGGCTTATTTTGGAGGCTCCCATCCTGGAAGAAGCCCTCTGGCCTGCTGAAAGGTGGTGCAACAAGCTGGAGGTCTGCCTGCAGTGCCCAGCAAGTTTCCTTCGAGCCGATGATGTCTGCGAGGGGCTCCAGGCAAGTTCCGATATTCTGGGACCGCTTTCCCAATGATCTGAAGATTAAGTCATGGTTCTTCTCACAACCTGGAGAGGAAAGCAAGAAGTAGCCTCAGACCTAAACATCTCAAGCTCTTTGACAATCCTGTTTACTGATCTTGTTGCCTGAGCGAAAAGAAAGATCTGTCGGTGGGATGAGATTAGAATTGAACTACGGAATCTCAGTGCTGTGAATGAGCAGGCCGGGGGATGCAGCCTGCCGCCCCACGGACCAGGAGCACTGCCACGTCACGGTGCCAGACAAGTGAATAGAGGACGTTTCTCAAACCATAGTGAGTGTTTCAGTTGATTCAGGACGAGAAATTTGAAGGGTGGGGCCAGGATCCAAACCAAGCGTTCAGTGTGGTGGTTGAAGCTGCGGGCTTCAGAGATAGAAAGATCTGGCTAGGGTAGAGTTTGGGCTCCTGCTGAGGATAAGCTATGACCTTGGGCAAGCTGTTCTTTACCTCTCTGAGGCTCAGTTTCCAAATCAGTTAAAAGAACAATGCTACCCAGAGAAGGAGCCAGGCTTTGTGGAGCCTGAAGCTTATGCCACTGGGGAGGGGGTGGGGGGTAGCGGTAAGGGGTGGAGAGGATCTCTTTAAGAAAAAGAATACAGAATTACAAATCCAAAATTGCATACAGGACCTCAGAAAGGATCCATGTAAGGGAGGGGCCCGGAGAGAACTGCCTCTGATGCGACCAGTTAGCTGTGAGATCATTTAAGTAAAGCTCTTGGCACATGAGATGATGGCATGGGGAGTGGTATGGCTTGAGTAAAATGCTATAATTTTGAGGAAGGAGGAAATTTTATCCCATCCATCTGTCGGAGATAATGACAGAGAATAGAACACTAGAGAAACCTCTAAGGCCGCCTTTAGCTGCAGAGTTCTATCCTGAATGTCCTGGCGCCAGCGTCCTGCCCGGTGAAATGTGGCTGGGAGTTGCACAATCTCTGCCTCTCCCACCTTTCCAAAAGAATCCCCACTGCTGTCTTCCTGGAGCCTCACAAAAGCTAAGAAGCAGTTAAAAACGAGTGAGTGGTTGCTCCTTATTTTTCCAACTGAAGAAAGGGGAGCTCTCAGAAGGACACCTGATAGCAGATGTGCTGCCAGTGGGAAGTGGAGCCCCCGCCCTGAGATGAATAAGGAGGTGGGGGTGTGTAGGTATTCTCTTGGAGGTGGAAATAGGGTATTGGTTAAAAAGTCTGACAAGTCGGGTTCTGGTCCTTACTCTGTCACTTTCTAGCTATGTGACCTCAGGCAGGCTCCTTTAGTTCACAGCCTGATTTCCTTATTATTTAATTTATAGGAGTAAATGAGAAAACATAGGTAAAGCATTTAGAAGAATGTCCAGCCCTTAGTGAAGTGCTTCACAAATCTTAGTTACGAAAATGATCAGTATTGCAGTCGCTGTTGCCATTGCTGTTGTTAAGTAAGGGCGGATGACTCCCTTCCCAAATCCCGCCCCTCCTCCCCTCTCCTCCCGGGAGCTCCTCTTCCACTGGCTTCTTTAGGCGGGAGGAGCATCCTCCTGGGGAGGTGGGCGGGGCCTCATTCCAGCTTGGCCAGAGCCTGCTAAGGCACAAGCCGCTGAGCTGGGGCTTGCACCTGACTAGACACCTTCCTGCTTGCCTCCTTCAGCTCAGACCTCGTCGTCACTGGAGCCCTCTCTTTTTGAAGCAGTCATGCCTGTGACAAAGAGTGCCCAGGGTGCCCAGGGAGCTGTTGACCTCAAACTGGACCGCAGGTCCTCTCCTGAAAGTGCCAAGAGGCTGCAGAACAAGGACCCTAGTTTCTTGAATGGAAGCCCTTCTGAGTTGCCGGACTCGCAGAAGACCAAGGGCATAACGTGAGTGCTCTTTTCTGCCATCCCCACTTCTGCCTTGCAGCCTGGAAGCTTGCATTGGCAAAAACCCTCGGGGGGGGGGGTTGGGGAGCTGTCCGATTCCCAACCCATTGTGCAGATGGAGAAACCAAGGTTGCAAAGGTGCAGTCAGAGGCTGAGTCAAGGGGAGAGCTTAAAGGGGCGGGAGTGGAGACTGTCAGAAAACCCTTAGGGATATAGGGATCCAGCCCCAACATATGCACCTGGGCAAACTAAGGCCCAATTACCTCAGGTCACGCACTGGCTCCTTGGCAGAATGGGGGCTTGAATCCAGTGCTGGCCCTAAAGTCAGTTTTGCCCCTGGCCTATCCTGATGATGTTGGGGGGGTGGGGCAGAATCCCAACTTCCTGGAGGAGAAGGTGAGACCTGAGCATAAACCCACAGTGTCCTCACTGACAACAAACATTGCCTCCTCCCTGCCTCCTTCTGCAGACGCCCCAGCCTCTGCTTCAATTGAGAATTGCAGTGATGGCATCAAAAGCACAACATGTGGAAGAGTCTAGTTCCTTCCACCTCCCGGGGGTGTGTTTGGGGGCTGGGGGGGATCACTCATAAGGCTTTCAAACTGTGACAAGAAGGGATCTACTGAATGACTTTAGGCGGGGAAGCCAAACTACAGGGCTCCAGCCCCCTTCGCCTCCATCACTCAAGCAGAGTAGCTAGTTGACTGAGGAAGAATGGATGGGGTGGCATGGTGGTGAGAGTTCTGCTGCTTTCAGAAGAAAATTTGGACACCATTGGTATACTAGAAAGAACACCTGCGTTCAAGTTGTGACTCTGCTCCTTCCCTTCTCTAAGCCTTGCTTTCCCCATATGCAAAACAGGGATAAACTGGTGGCAATGTGAATTTAAGGAGGCTGCCTGGAAATTAAATCTGAAGGGCGGGGTGAGGGGGTGTGCAGCAAGGAGGGAGAAGTTACTATAAGGGGCAGGTAATGCCACTTTCCGTGGCCACCCTGCAGAACAATTTAGAGATGGACACAATGTCTGGCACTAGGACATGGTTCACTTGCCCTAGGGCTAGTCTTGGGGTTGCTAAGAACTCGTGACCCTGAGGGTGAGCTTTCCAGGCCTTGGGGCCATCCACTGCTGAGAAGGGGTATTTCTCAATCAGAGGCCTTGGGGGAACCAACTAGCTCTTGTGCCCTGTACTGACACAGGGTTTGGTGGCGATTTCAGGTACTTAAGAATCAAAAAGACAAAGCATGTAAGAACTAGAGGGGCCCTCGTGGCTTGGAGTGAAGGAGTGAACAGGTCAGGAAAGCATGGTACCTATGGGGTCAGCTCACCTGGGTTCCAATTCCCTTTTAGCTGTCTATCAGCTTGAGCAAGTGACAGAACTTCTCTGTCCCCCAGTCTCTCTGTTGTGAAATGACAGTTTCCTCCTCCTAGGATGGCTGCAAAGGTGATTTGCACATAAAGCCCTCAAGCACAGTGCCCTAAGCTGCTGTGAATACAATGACAGTCCAAGGTCACCAAAGAAGTTAGGGCTAGAACCCAGGTCTCTTGCCTCCCTGCCCAGTGCTTTGCACAACTAACCACACTACGTTTTTAAGTTGGCTGAGTGGCCCAAAGTTAAACTCTGATTTCCTAAGTCCTTTAGTTAGAAACTTCCAAAGTGACCCGCTGACCCTTTCCTAGCTGCAAAACAAGCCCATCATTGGAGGGCTGTAGGGCGCAGCGCTCTGTCAGCGATGTTGACACCCACAGGGAGAGAGAAAGGCACACAGAGGCTCTCCACCCCCTTCTCCCCACCCTTCTCCCCTAATTGTTCTCTTTAACCCTTAACAAATCAAGGGGCAGATCCTCAGGAAGCCAGCAGATTTAGGGATTTCATGTAAAGATATGGGTGTTTGGGGCAGTTCTTTCAAAATATCATTCCTCCCAACATTCACAGATGCTCAGCAAAATGGACACATTGCCCCAGATGACACAGCTAGTTAAGTAGTGGCCTTGACTTTTAATCCATGGTTTGTCCGACCTCAGAGACCAGGCTCCTTCCAGTATACCTCTGCCGCTCTTCAGAATAAACCTCCTTGCTGGAAGGTTCTCATGGGGAATTTCCATGGTTTCTAAACCTTGTGGATGTAAACCCAATACTCACCTTGGTTTAACCTGGTCCAGGTACAAAGAGATGTAGAGATAGGTTCGGTTTGTAATTCACCAACAAAGCGTATATGTCCCTGGAACTCTACCCCTGAGGGGTTAGACCTTGTCCTCTGATCACCTTCACATCTGTCTTGAAGCAAGAGTTTGAGTTTTTGTTTTTGTTGGAGTGGGAGGAGACATGGCATTCACCAGCTTGATGTTTTGGCCTGAGGAAAAAATAAATTCCTCTGGAGCCCACTCCCCAAGGGACCCTGTCCCAACAGACCCATCTGGGAACCCAAGTCACCTGATCTACTTATTCAGAAGTCACAATGATTTCCCTTTGCTGCCTGCCCTTTACTCTGAGTTCAATCCTGTCTCTGCTACTAGTCTTACGACCTTGGGCTGTTCACTGCCTCCTCTCTGAACCTCAGTGTCCTCAGTTATGAAATAGGGTTGTCCCTTGACTCATCTGTCTGGGCCTATTTTGGGAGGCAGTAGAGATGGGGTGAAGAAGAGGGACTCCGAAGCAGTCCTGGTTTCAAATCCCCAATACATCTTCGGACAAGTCATTAAAAAAACCTCTATGCCTCAATTTCCTCATCTGCAAAATAAAGGCAATAACCTACTTCCTTGTCATGAAAAGAGGATTAAGTGGAATAATACATGTAAAGTACTTAGCATAGTGTCTGTTAAATAGTAAGTGTTATAATGGCATATATTGAGTGTTAGCTGCTAAAACCAGGAACAGTTCTGGGCAAACTGGGGTGCTTGGTCACTCTACAGGAGACCCTGAGGTGCCAGGCAAGGCCGTGGGGACTGCAAGATGGCCAGAAGCCCACCTATCCAGCTTAACTCAGCTGTTGGCATGCTGTGAGGGAATGGCGTGAGATCGCCTCCCCTCCACACACCCACGTCCTCACGTCTTTTTCCTCTGCTTTAGAGAGTTCCAGACTTTGATCCACCTGGTGAAAGGCAACCTAGGCACGGGGATCCTGGGCCTCCCCCTGGCTATGAGGAACGCGGGCATTCTGGTAAGAGGGGCTGCTGCAGGTGGGGCCAATACTGCTGGATTGTAGCAGGGAGGCGGGAGGAAAGGCTCTAAGGGTTTATGGTGGCTTGTGGTGAGCAGTCTTCCTGGGAGGCTGCTTGATCCAGACTTGGAGTCTAGACATCTAGCCTAGGTTTGAGTTCTGGCTCTGCCACAGACTTCGAGTGGCCTCGATAAGCCACATGTCCACTCTCTGAGTCTCAGTTTCCTCTCTTGTAGAGTGCAGGGGTCGGACTAGGACTAGTTTTCCAGATGTTCTAGTTCTCAGGGATGCCTCAGAGGCCACGAAGGGTCAGAATTCTGGGTCCCTACTCTCAACACAACACCCCATTGTAATTGTTTTATGTACTTTATTGGAGTACTGCTTGAGATTATATTTGAAAGAATAGCTGTTGCTGCTAAAAAGAGCTTGCAAACCAGTTTGCTAGAAAGTTCTTTGAGGGGCCAGCCCAGCAGCGTAGCACTTAAGTCTGCGTGTTCTGCTTCGGCAGCCCGGGGTTTGCTGGTTGGGATCCTGGGCACAGACCTATTCACCGCTCATCAAGCCACACCGAGGCGGCGTCCCATGTAGAAGAACTAGAAGGACCAACAACTAGAATATACAACTACGTACTGGGGCTTTGGGGAGAAAAAAGAAAAAGAGGAAGATCGGCAACAGATGTTAGCTCAGGGCCAATCTTCCTCAAAAAAAAGAGAAAAAAGAAAGTTCTTTGAGTCCTGAATGATATCTGCACTACCAAATCCCTCCCCACGATGTTCTTCACAAATCCATTCTCTTCTCTCTTCCCTTGCCCCTTGACTTCCGCTTCCCCTAGATGGGCCCGCTCAGTTTGCTGGCAATTGGCTTCATCTCCACCCACTGTATGTACATCCTGGTCAGGTGTGCCCAGCGCTTCTGCCACAGGTGAGGAAAACAGCATCCTCATGTCAATTCCTGTGGTACTCGGTTCTCAAGGACATTCTCAGAAACACCCTACGCATAACGAGAGATGACCTAATTTCCTCCAACATGGCCAAGAAAAAGAGAAAAGCATTTGGGGCAGGGACATAAGGCGAGGTTCTGTACATGATTCACCAGGTGATCTCAGTCAGGCCATTGTGCTTATCTGCTTGGCTCATCTGTATAATGGACATAAACAACTCCTGCCTAACCCTGCCTCAGAGAACTGTCGTGAGGATCCAATGGGATGACAGATATGAAAGTACTGTATTCAAGCAAGGTGTGTGTTATTGCCCTTGTTATGCAATAACCACCTCACTTGACAGGAAAGGAAAACAAGCCACCAAGGAAATACCAACAGGTGTCAAAGCCTGAACTAGAACTTGGGTCTCTGCCCCAGTGTTCTTTCCCCTCCAGCTGGGTCCTGCCTTGCTGTGTGTCTCTTAACTTTTCTGTAGATGATCTTAGGTTAAACTACCTCTTGGTAACTATATGCACTTTCTCCTGCAGGCTTAACAAGCCCTTTTTGGACTATGGGGATACAGTGATGTACGGACTAAAAGCCAGCCCCAGTGCCTGGCTCCAGAACCATGCTCACTGGGGAAGGTACCTTGTTCTTGCTTTGTCTGCAGTGGGGTAGGACACAGGAAGACAAAATACGGCTGTCTGAGATGCCTTCTTCCCTGGAAAGCTGGCTCATGTGGCACAGAATGTTGGACTTTCCACATGGAAGGGGTTCATTGAAAACACCCCTCATCCAGCCCCCCTCCTCGTATACCTCCAGGAACAGGGTGTGCATTCCTTTGCTATGCAGCCTTAATATTATTCACTTTTTTATTAAACCACATTTATCCAGCTGCTACTATGTACCAGGCCCTGGAAATACCATGGGGAACAAGGTAGCAAGGCTTTGCCCTCACAGACCCCATAGTCCAGTGGGAAAGACAGACAATAAACAGCTTAGGGTACAGTTAATAACCACTGGGATAAGTATGATGAAGGAGAGAAGTACTAGTTGATAGCAAGGCAGGTAAGGAGATGCTGAGATGCTAAGCTGGGGTGGGCTTCCTAGGATGGAACAGTTGAGATGAGTTCCACAGGAAAGAGTTCTGAAGAATGAGGAGTTACTAGGGGAAAGTGGGCAGGACCCTGGAGGGCCTCCCAGGAAGAAGGAAGAGCAAAGTGTGAAGGTGCAAAGCAGGAAGGAGTGCGTGGCGGTTTCAAGGCACGGACAGACCAGGCAGCTGGAGAGCAGAGAGTCAGGGAGATGGAAATGAGGAAGGATCCGGGGGCCTGATCAAGCTGTACATTTTAGACCCTGTTAAAGGCTTTGTTCTTTTCTTAAAAGCAACAAGGAAACCATTGCAGGGTTTTAATCAGGGGAATAATCATATTTGCATTGTTTAAAGATCTGTCTGGCTTCTGCAAGGAGAATAGATTGTAAGGGAGTAAGAACAGATTTGGTCAGACCCCTGAGGAGGCTATTGACAACGTCCAGGCAGGTGGCAACAATGGCTGGGACCAAGCTGATGGCAGTAGGGGTGGAGAGAAGTGCATTTGGTCATGAACTGGATCCCAAGATTGCAGGAAAAGGAAAGAGTCATGGTGGACTCAGATTTCTGATGACTTCTGTTTGGGCTAAGTTGGGTTTGAGGTTCCTGAGAGATCTTCAAGTGGCGATGTCAAGTGGGTAGTTGTATGCAGGAGATACAGAATTGAAGTCGTCAGCCATGAAGCCAGGGGGCAGAGGAGGTCTCTTAGGGAGAGAGTTTATAGTGAGAAGAAGAGAGAAAAAAAGACCAAGACATTATGCAGCCTTTGGTGAGCTGAAGTCCTCTCCCTGCACCTCCCACCTTTTAGCTCTCAGGGACGACATGGAAAAAGTCAGTCCTCCTCTTTTTTCTTTTTTCTCTTTCTCTTTCTTCCCTTTCCCAAGGAACTCCCACTCAGGTATTGGTTTTTTAAGAAGGCTTACTGTCTGCTCCATAATTTGGATAAACTGCCCTTTTCATCACGGCCTGTGGTGTCATATTTTTTCGTCCATCTCACCCACTAGTCTATAAACTACTAGAGGAAGGGACCATGTGTTATTTGTCTGTGTATCCTCAATGCCTAACACAGTATCTGGCACATGGTAGAAAAAAATTTTAAATGTTAATGATAGCTAATAAAAGTATTGCTTCCTACTGCTCTACTTCAATTAGTATCAATTATAAGGAATGCCGCAGAGCCAGGTGTGGGGGGAGGCTCCCAACCAGGAAGAATGTTACCACTTGCTGAGCTGCAAGTGCGAGGGTGGGTGAAAAACATCTTTTAAAAGAACTATTGTTACCTTACTTCTTATTGCCCCATTGTTGAATGTGGCAGCAGGACCAAGGGTGCTGGTATAGGGTCACCAGCCGCTGGGGACGGAAATGGAAATGACAAGCCAACTTTTATAACAAGTTTTCTTTCTCTCTCCCTCCTCTCCTCCAGGCATATGGTGATCTTTTTCCTTATAGTTACCCAGCTGGGCTTCTGCTGTGTGTACATCGTGTTTCTGGCCGATAATTTAAAACAGGTAAAGTCTTCTAGAGAAGGTGGGTGGGAAAACAACATGGAAAAGGAGGGTCTTCTGCTAGTTGTTCAACCAATGGCTTCTTCTCTTTGGATCCTAGTGTCCCCATCAGTACAACAAAGGAAGTTAAACTAGATGTTAGCAAAGAACCCAGACTTCTAGTTCACATATCTGCAAATTTCTGTAAGTCGTTCCTTTTTCCACAATACCCTTGGTCCAGTATCTTGGACCTGTCCTCAATGTTGGTCTCTACAATTGAGCTGGAAGGACCCTGGATTTTGTCACTCACCCTGCCTTGGAGCTTAATCATCCTTAACTCTTCTAGAACTGATATGGGTCTTTGTGAATGATACCTCATCTTTGGGCCATCTTGATCTGCCTTTAGTTGCTTAATCTCTATGGCTTAACAGTCATCTCCAGGAAGTCCTTTTGATCTACCTCAAGTTATCTTGTAGCTATTTCAGCAAACTAATGAGTAATAACAGAGGCCATCCTTAGTCAATCAATAAGCTTAAAACAGAAAACTATCCTTTAGGGCTCTTTTTCTGTTTACAGCAATACCAGAAATTTGGAAATGTAAAAAAATTAGAAAGAAGGAAAAAAATAGTAGGCATTCAGAGTTGGCTCCTATTGTATGTCAGGTGCAGTGCAGAGCATTTTATGTGCTTTCCTTCATTTAATTCTCTCCATAACTTCATCAGAGTAGGGTGTGGTTATTCCCATTTTGCAGATGAGAAAACTGATGCTATAAACCCTATAATGCATATAAGGTCACAGAGCTAAGATTTAAAACACAGGCCTTTTAACATCAGAGCTCAAGTTCTTAAACACTATGCTATATTGCTTCTCAAAACAGATTAGTCTTAATCCAACCACTTGTGGTTATCGTTTTAACTTAGTATTAACTGGTTAGCATTTTGCAATGTCCTTACATTTTTTCATATAATTTTTAATAGTTTCATAATATTCTATCACACAGATTGGCCATGATTTAGTCTTCTATCATTGGATATTTTGTTTCCCTTTATTTTTCTGCTATCATCTGTTTTTCTATTATAATCTCTACATGTCTTTGTATACCCCTTTATTTCTTAGGATATATTTCTAAAAGTAAAATTTACTGGGTCAAAGAGTTTTTTTGAAGACTCTTAAAACACATTGTCAGATTTCTGCTTAGAAATCAATCTAATCTATCAGCAGAATTTTATTTATCATCTGTAGAGACAAGGCAAGCATTGCCTCGAGGAGTTTGCAGGCTAAGTGGGATATGTTCTAAAACATATAAAAAGTTAAATATAATCATGATATTTTGGTGCTGGGTCAGGACACCACTAACACCACCCTGAGGTCAGGGATGCTCAGTTGTGACCGAAGGGGAAGAAAAGTACAGGCGCAGGAAAGATCACTGGAGCAAGGGAAGGCTCCCTTGAGGAGGTGCATCCGAGCTGGGTGTTGAAGGGCAGGTTGGAGAAGTGGTGGCAGCCAAGGTGGGAGAAGGGAGGAGTGAACACCTGGAGGCAGGAATGTATGGGACTTGCTCAAGAGAGGTAATACAATTGTTTGTAGAAGAAGGCGTGGGCCTTGGGAAAGGAAGAGCCTTCAAGGTTGAATGGGGCCCATTTATGGAGGGCCTTGAATGCCCCGCTAATGTTCTAAGTATTTTTCCTACGGTAGTGGGGAATCAGAAGAAAACAAGAGTTAATGATCATTTAAGTATTCATAGTGTGTTGTTAAGTGAAAAGAAGATTTCAAAATAAGAGTGTAAGCTATGATTGCAGTTCTTGTGAAATAAAAAAGAAGCATATAATACATGTAATTTGTAATATAGTATAGAAAATGTATAGATGAATATATTCCAAGGCATTACCACGGCTACCCACAGGTACTGAGATTATCACTGCTTTTACATTTTCTTCTATCCTAACTCTAGTTTCTAATTGTTCTGCGACAGATTGTATTGCTTGCACAATAAGACTGTATTAATTAAGCCATGCTGATTCTAAATGAGGGTGGTACCATCCCCCCCACCCCGACTTTGCGCGGGTGCTTGTAATGTGTGCTGGGGAATGTTTCTTGTTTGTCACAATGATTGGGGGATGCTAATTGTTTCTATTGGGTGGGATCCAGGGATGCTAAAAGTCCTGCAGTGAATGGCCCAATCCTCACAAAGAGTTCTCACTCAAAATGCCACTATTGGTCTAATTAAGAAACAGTAAGTGATGGGTTTTTTGGTTATAAGCAAAAGAAACAGATTCTGGGGAACTTAAGCGAAAAATAAGTTTAGTGGAAGTATATTGGCTAACTTCCAAAATGACAAAGAAAGCTAAAAAAAAAAATGGGTCACTGAAAAGAAGAGGAACCAGGGCAGCTAGGAGGGTGTAGATTGTAGAACTGATGAGCAGTCTCCGCAGGGAGCCCCCTCAGAGTTAATTTTTACCCTTTTCTAGTTCTGTCCTTGTGTCACTTTGCTTGTTAATTAGATTCAGATTCCAGGGAGAGATTGTGAAAGCCCTAGCTTAGCTCTGCCATGTGATTATGATTTGCCGTCCTCCAAGGTCGTATTCAGGTGAGAGAGAATTCACCAAAAATAAGTCAAAATCAGGAGGAATGGATGCTGGGTTGCCAAAAGCCAACAAACAGCCACTGTAAATCCAATTATTTATTTTTTACTAAAATTATTTGTGCAGCTTCTTTTGAGGAAGTATGGTGCCAAAGATTTGTAATAAGAAGTCCTAAATTCACCCTAACTCACTGAGACCCTGGACATTCCAGCTCTTTATGAGGGACTTTGATTGTGGGCCAGGCACTGAGCTAATCATGTGGCCAGATGATTTATTGAATCTTCGCCTTGCTTTTTGCAATCCTTCCTCAGGTAGTGGAAGCAGTTAATAGCACAACCAACAACTGCCATTACAACGAGACGGTGGTTCCGACGCCCACCATGGACTCTCGACTTTACATGCTCACCTTCCTGCCCTTCCTGGTGCTGCTGGTCTTTGTCCGGAACCTCAGGGTCCTGACTATCTTCTCCATGCTGGCCAACATCAGCATGCTGGTCAGCTTGATCATCCTCACCCAGTACATCGTCCAGGTTAGTGCACACCACATGCCTGACTCCTCCAGAGGGCAGAGCCTGTTATCAATGATAGACTGATACCTGGGGCCAGCCCTGAGGGTCAGTAAGTGTGTACCTCACTCTTCAGCCTAGGGCCCACCTCATTGTAGCATTTCTTCCACAAAGACGTCTCTATGCAATCTCCTTCTTCTGAACATCTCCTCTTTCATTTTGCTTCTCCAATACTCATTTTTATGTTAAATTCTGGCTTTTAAAAAAAACGTTATGCTTTGCTAGGAAAACATCTTGATTGGTGAACTATAGACTATTCCCGTAGTGGCTGGAGAGCAGTAAAAGGCAGATCAATAGCAGGATCTTCTACCACAGCTGAAACATATTGAATTACCCTTAGTCTTAGATCCTCTAGGCTACAATTCCAGACACCCAAAATTACCCCTAGGGAACTCAAGGAAAAAAAAAAAAAAAAAACAGCTAATATTTAGTCACAGAGGTAATAAACAGAGAGTCTCGAAAGACCACGGCAAATCTATCACAATGTAAATTACAATGTTTTTGAGGTTGAACTACAGATATTGATTTTCCCTCAATTTCCTACTTTTTTATTCTTCCTAATTTTTATTTTATAATGGACATAGAAATTTAAACCCAGAAGCCCCTTGGCATGCCTAATAGCTTTCAGATGCTTTTATCTTTCAGAAGTCACAAGAAAAAAAAGTTATATTGTCCATGGAATTTAGTAAAAATAACAAGTTAGTCAAATATTTTAGGGTAACTACTGATAAGTCTTGTATTCATTAAGGCAATATTGATAAATTCTACAAAATTGAATTTCCTAATGAAAGATAGCCACCTCTGATTCATTTCTGGACTATTCCAGAGGTTGCTCAATTAGAGAAATGATTCTGTCATTGTTTTCACATTCTAGGTCAGGGTACATAAAACAGATATGCCACACACTTTCCTTCCTTTCAGTTTATAGCTCGTTGAAGAAGAAAAGGGGGCTTTCACATTTAACTAACTACTTTGGGCCCCCTTGAATATCACTGTAGCTGTAGTCACAGTAATTTCCAATACCCATAACCACTGGTACATTCAGAGCGTTCTTAAGGCACTTTAGGCTGGTACCAACTTGTGGTATCTAAGATTTTCTTTTGGAGGATTCTGATAAACCAGACTCCCTCCGTGAGATACTAATCCTTCAGTCCTTTGACAATACTTCAATATTTCTTTCCTCTGGCTCTTTGATATTGTATAGTATTGAAAGCAGCTTTGATTGTTGCCTACTTCCTTTTGAAGTTTTTTGAATTTCTTGACATTCACTTTTTAAAATTCAGGTCTACTGTCAGAATACCCGCCTCTTAAAGGAGCCCAAACATGCCTTGAGAGTAAATGTCTTACCTGGTCTCTCTCTCCTCTAGGGAATTCCAGACCCCCGCGGGCTGCCACTGGTAGCAAGTTGGAACACCTACCCTCTCTTCTTTGGAACAGCCATGTTTTCATTTGAAAGCATTGGCATGGTAAGGTTTGAATTGGGGTAGACTTGCCCGGTGCTGTGGTGGCCTTCTGAGCAGGAGCTGGGAGCTCTGGGTTTCTGGGTTTCTGTGTGCACACGGGAGAAAGGAACCTCTGGCCTCACTTGGGTCAGTTGTCACACGCAGGAGAAAAGTAGGTTACAACAGAGAGGCAGTCTGGAGACAGAGTTTTATTCTTGTCCCAATACGTCTATTAAACATTTATCTTCATATCAACATGTGTTTCCTAATCTTTTAAAATCAAGGCAATTGGAGGTATACAATTTAAATTACAGGATTTATTCTATGAAACATCAAGGAGTTTTAAACTGGGAAGTATTGTATATTTACAATGGAATATTATACAGTCTCTACTTCTACTCTTGAGGAAGGATAGAGGTGTATACATAATTTTTAAGTTTAATTTACATACAGTACAATTCACCTTTTTTTGGTGTACATTTCTGTAAGTTTTGAGAAATGCATAGAGTCATAGATGCACCACAATCAGGACACAGAACAATTCCTTCACCACAAAAACCTCCCTCATGCTGCCCCCTTTGTAGTCAACTTCCCCCCCACCTACTAACCCCTGGCAACCACTTTCTGTTCTTGTCTCTACTGTTTTATCTTTTCCAGAATGTCATATGCGTGGGATCATACAGGAGGTAACCTTTTGAGACTGACTTCTTTCACTTAACTGCATTTAAGATCATCCGTGTTATTGCGTGTATCAGTTGCTCATTGCTTTCTATGGCTGAGTGTCCACTGTATGGGCAATACTACATTTGTCTATCAAGTCACCCACTGAAGGACACTTAGGTTGCTTCTAGTTTTTGACGATTATGAATAATGCTGCTATAAGCATTTGTATACAGGTTTTTATGTGAACGTAAGTTTTCATTTCTCTAGAAGTAGGTTTGCTAGGTCACATATTAATGTATGTTTAACTATAAGAAATTGCCAAACAGGTCTTCAGAATGGCTGTACCATTTTGCATTCCCACCAGAATGTATGAGCATTCCAGTTGCTCTGCACCTTTGCTAGTTCTTATCTGTATTGTCAGTATTTTTTTATTTCAGCCATTCTAATAGGTGTGTAGTAGTTATTGTGATTTAATTTGCATCTTACTAATGACCAGTGATTTTGAGCACCTTTTTATGGGCTTATTTGACATCTGTATATCCTCTTTGGTGAAGTGTCTGTTCAAATCTTTTGCAAATTTTTTTAAAAACTGAGTTGTCGTCTTCTTATTGTTGAGTGTTAAGAATTCTTTATATATTCTAAATGCAAATCCTTTATTGGATATATAATCTGCAAATATTTTTTCCAGTCTGTAGCTTGTCTTGTCATTCGTTTAGTGTCTTTCACAGAGAAGATTTAATTTTGATAAAGTCCAATATATCAAAATTTTAGTTTTATGGATACTACTTTTGGTGTTGTATCTAAAAATACTTTGCCTAACCCAGGATCACAAAGATTTTCTCTTATATTTTCTTCTAAATATTTTATAGTTTTCATTGTACAGTTAGATCTATGAACTATTCTGTGTCAATTTTTGCTAAAGGTGTTTATAGTTTGAAGTTCATTTTTTTAATAGGATGCCCAGTTGTTCCAGCATCGTTTGTTGAAAAGACTACCAATTCTCCATTGAATTGCCTTTGCATCTTTGTAAAAAATAATTGATATATGTGTATAGGTCAATTTCTGGACTTCCTCTACTGATTCATTGATCAATGTGTCTATCCTTTCATGCATACCAAAATGTCTTGATAGCACAAGCTTTATCTTAAAATTATGAAATGTGAGAGCTCTAACTTTCTTTTGATTAGTATTTGTGTGATATATCTTTTTCCATCCTTTTAATTTGTTTTAATGGAGATAAAATTCACATATCAGAAAATTCACCATTTTAACCATTTTGAAATATGCAACTCTGTGGCTTTTAGTACGTTCACAATATTGTGCAATCATCACCCTTATCTAATTCTAAAAAATTTTCATCACCCCCAAAAGAGACGCTATATACATTAAGCAGTCACTCTCCATTCTTCCTGCTCCCAGCCCCTGGCAACCACTACCTGCTTTCTTTTTTTTTATGGAGTTGCCTATTTTGGAAATTTCATATAAATAGAATTATATAATATATGGCCTTTTGTGTTTGGGTTCTTTCACTAAGCATAATGTTTTCGAGGTTCATCCATGTTAGCATTACTATCCATACTTAATACTTTTATGTGGCTTAATAATATTCCATTGTATGGATACATAACGTTTTGTTTATCCATCCGTCAGTTGATGGACATTTGGGTTGTTTCTACTTTTTGGCTATTATAAATAATACTGCTATGAAAATTCACTTATAAGTTTTTTTTGAACACCTGTTTTTGATTCTTTTGGGTATGATGAGTGAGATTGCTGGGTCATATGGTAATTCTGTTTAACATTTTGAGAAACTGCCAAAATATTTTTCACAGAGGCTGTATCATTTTACATTTCCACCAACAATGTATAAGGGTCCCAATTTCTTTATGTCCTTGCTATTACTTGCTATTTTCTGGGGTTTTTAAAAAATTTTATTCTTATTATGGCCAGCCTAGTAGTTATTGAGAGATATCTTATTTTGGTTTTGATTTGCGTTTCTCTAATGACTAAAGACATTAAGCATCTTTTCATGTTCTTGTTGGCCATTTGTATATTTTCTTTGGAGAAAGGTCTATTCAAGTCCTTTGCCCATTTTTAGTTGGGTTTGTCTTTGTTTGTCAAGTTGTAAGAGTTCTTTATATGTTCTAGATACTAGACCCTTTATCACATAAATGTTTTGCAAATGTTTGCTCCCATTCTGTGGGTTGTCTTCTCACTGTCTTAGTAGTATCCTTTGATGCATAAAAGTTTTTAATTTTGATGAAGTCCAGTTTATCTATTTTTTCTTTTGCTACTTATGCTTTTGGTATTAATAGCTAAGAATCCATTGTCAAATCCAGGGTCATGAAGATTTACTTCTATGTTTTCTTCTAAGAGTTTTTGTACTTTTAGCTCTTACATTTAGACCTTTGATCCATTGAGTGAATTTTTGTAGGTAGTGTAAGGTAAAGGTCCAACTTCGTTCTTTTGCATGTGGTTATCCAGTTGTTCCAGCACAATTTGTTGAGAAGACTGTTCTTTCCTCATTGAATGGTTTTGGTACCCTTGTCAAAATCAATTGACTGTAGATGTACAGGTTTATTTCTGGACTCTCAAATCTATTCCATTGATCTGCATGTCTATCCTTATGCCAGTACCACATTGTTTTGATTATAATAATTTTGTAATAATTTTGAAATCATGAAGTTTAAGTCCCGTACCTTTCTTCTTTTTTACGATTGTTTTGGCTATTTGGGGTTCTTTGCAATTCCCTATAAATTTTAGGATCAGCTTGTCCATTGCTGCCAAAAAGGCAGTTGGAATTTTGATAGAGACTGCACTGAATCTGTAGATCAATTTGGGGAGTATTGCTGTCTTACAATGTTGTCTTCCAATCCATGAACATGGGATGTCTTTCCATTTATTTAGGTCTTCTTTAATTTCTTTTTTGTTTTTTGGTTTTTTTTGGTGAGGAAGATTAGCCCTAGCTAACATCCGTTGTCAATCCTCTTCTCTTTGCTCAGGAAGATTGGCCCTGGGCTAATAGCCATGCCTATCTTCCTCTACTTTATATGGGATGCTGCCACAGCACGCCTTGACAAGCAGTGCGTCAGTCTGCACCTGGGATTCTAACCTGCAAACCCCAGGCCGCCAAAGCAGAGTGCACGAACTTAACCACTACGCCGTGCGGCCAGCCCCTTCTTTAATTTCTTTAAACAATGTTTTGTAGTTTTCAGTGTACAAGTCTTACAAGTCAACAAGTACATCTCCTTGGTCAAATTTATTCCTAAATATTTTGTTATTTTTGTTGTTAAATGGAATTGTTTTTTTAACTTCCTTTTCAGAATGTTCACTGCTAGTTCAGTACAACTGATTTCTGTATGTTGATCTTGTATCATGCAACTTTGCTGAACTCATTTAGTAGCTCCAATAGTTTTGTGTGTGTGTGTGTGTGAACTTGTGTGTCAATTTGAATGCCTTTTTTTTCTTTTTCTTGTCTAATTGCCCTGGCTAGAACTTCCAGTACAACACTGAATAGAAATAGTGAGAATCCACATCTTTGTCTTATTCCTGATCTTAGGGGAAAGTTTTCAGCCTTTCACCATTAACTATGATGTTACCTGTGGTTTTTTTTATAGATGCCCTTCATCACGTTGAGGAAGTTCCCTTCTGTTCCTTGTTTGTTGACTGTTTTTATCATAAAAGAATGCCGGATTTTGTCAAATGCTTTTTCTGCATCAATTGAAGTGATCATGTGGTTTTTTTCTCCCCTTCATTCTATTAACATGATGTATTACATTAATTGATTTAATATGTTGAATCACCCTTGCATTCCTGGGATAAATCCCAGTTGATCATTGTATACAATCCTTTTAATTTGCTGCTGGATTCAGTTTGGTAGTATTTTGTTGTGTAATTTTGCATCTCTATTCATAAAGAATATTGGCCTGTAGTTTTCTTTTCTTGTCATATACCATCCTTTTAATTTTAACCTATTTTAAAGTGGGTTTCTTACAGACAGAGTATAATTAAGTCTTGTTTTTTAATCCAATCTGACCATCTTTGTCTTTTAACTTGTGTGGTTGGATGATTTGCAGTTACATAATTATTATGGTTATTAGGTCTGAATTTTATTCTTTGTTTTCTGTTTTATCCTTCCTTTTGCTTTTCTTCTGTTTTTCTTTTCTTACTTTCTTTTGGATTATTTGAATACTTTTTAGTATTCTACTTTAATTTGCCTATTACATTTTTTGCTATATCTCTCTCTATAATACTTTTAGTGGTTGCTCCAGTAATTATAACATACATACATATCTTTTCATAGTTTACGTGGGGCTAATACTTTATCATTTCTAGTAAACTATAGATATCTTACTCATATAGATCCCTGTACTTCCTCCCCTTTATGCTGCATTGCCCATAGTTATTACGTCTAAATACATTAAAACATCATCAGACCATGTTATGATTTTTTCTTTCAACAGTCATACATACTTAACAATCTACTCATAACAAACTTACTAGAAGAAAAATAGTTTATTATATCTACCCAGATAATTACCATTTCTGTTGCTCTTTCTTTATTCTTGAATTCACAGGTTTCCCTCTCATCATTTCCCTTCAGCATGAAGAACCTCCATTAGCATTTCTTTTAGAGTAGGTCTGCTGGTGACAAATTCTCTTCATTTTTTTCATCTGAGAATGTCTTTATTTTGCCTTTATTCCTGAAAGATAATTTTGCATAGTATAGAATTCTAGGTTGACAGTTCTTTTTTCTTCAGCACTTTGAAAATGTGATTCCCCTTCCTTTTGCATTCGATGGTTCCGATGAGAAATCTGCAGTTATTTGAATCATTATATGTAAAATGTTGTTTTCACCGGGTTACTTTCAAGATTCTTTTTTTTTTCATCTTTGGTTTTCAGCAGTTGTATCATATTGATATAGTTATATATCTGTATAGTTTTCTTTGAGTTTGTCCTGTTTGAAATTCACTTAATTTTTTGAATCTGTAAATCTATGTCTTTTACCTAATTTGGGAAGTTTTCAGCCATTATTTTTTCAAAAATTTTTTCTGCACCAATCTCTTTCTCTTCTCCTTCTGGTACTCCAATGACCTGAATGTAAAATCTTTTGATACATGTCCCACAGGCTTCTGAGTCTTTATTCATTTTTTTTTATCTTCTTTCTCATTTTATGTTCAGGTTCAATAATTCCTGTTGATCTATTTTCAACTTATATCTTCATTCAACTCTATATCTTCATTCTCTCTATATATTTCTTCATTCAACTCGATATCTTCATTCAACATTCATATCTATATTCAACTTATATCTGTCCATTTATTTCAATAATGTTCTCCCTTACTTCATGGAGGATGGTTATAATAGCTGCTTTAAAGTCTTAATCTGATATTTCCAACATTTGAGTCATCTTAGGGTTGGCATCTGTTGTCTTTTCCCTTGAGACTTGTTGAGATTTTCCTGGTTCTTTGTATAGTGAATAATTTTAGACTGTACCCTATACATTTTAAATGTCATTTTTTGAGACTCTGGAGCCTGTTAAAATCCTCTGGAGAATGTTGATTTTTTGGTTTTAGCAAGCAGTCAATCTGACTAGATTCAGACCACAAGTCCTAACCCACCTCCTGTGGGCCTTGGTTCCAATATCAGGTTAGTTTTCAAAGGCTTTGCAGTGATATTTGGCTCTATCCTGCCTTTGTGCCATCCAGGGACCAGGCTGGGATGTAGAGTGTGGTCTACACAATAGTTCAGTTTTCAAAGCCTCTGCTTTGATGCTTCACATCAGTTCCACACATGTGAGGGCTGAGCCCTGGACTTTGCTCACAGATTTAGGGGATCATTTTCTCCAGCTCCTTCCTCTCCATGTTTTTCTGCACATTTACGGGCACCTTTTTCTGGCCCTCTGGCTAGAAAGCCAGGGTTTTAGCTTCCCTATACTGCTATGCACTGCCTGTGACTGGATCTGACTCTCAGATTAGGTACTGAGAGAAAAGAAGGAGGAAAAAATTTAAAAATAATCATAGGGATTTCTTCAGGGCCAGCTGCTTGGACATGCCACCTGTGCTGTTGCATAGGGCCCTTGCCTTTGGAAGGATCCCACACTTGGTTTAATGCTCTGCTTTCATTATCTTGAAATTCTTGATTTTTGACCAAAAGGCCCTACATTTTCATTTTGCACTGGATCCCACAAATTTTATAGCCAGTCCTGATTCTCCCCACACTCTTTGGACTCCCAAAGCCCCTTTTCCTAGTTCCTCTGCTCAGAAAGAAGGATGGTATCTCAGATTTTAGATGCCTGTGTGACCACCATGGTCAGTGGTGCACCAGAATGCTGCTTTGTGACTGGAACTTGCCTTGGGGGGTGTGGCCTGGAGAGTGAAAAAGGAAATAGAAAAATAGAGATTCTCTCTATACTCTGTGTCCCACAGGGGCCCCGATTCTAGGTCCTCTGGCCAGAAAGATAGTTTCTCTTGGAGTTTTTTCTGTCTGTATCCACAGCATAATTCTAGGATTTGGGCTCCTCTTGAGTCTAAACTAGGAGATACAGGAAGAAAAAAGTCAGGACACTCACTGCCATAATGGTACCTGCTATTATTTACTTTTCAGAGTCCATGGATAGTTGCTTTACGTATTCTGCCCAGGGTTTTTAGTTTTAATCAGTGAGAAAGATATGGTGGAGTGTGCTTACACCATCTTAATGGAACTGGAAGCACTTTATATTTAGAATTTTGGACAGTCATAGCAAAAAGCAGAGTGCAGTGGTTGAGCAAATGACTTTGGAGGAAGAATGTGCTGGAATCTTACTTTGACCATGGGCTAGTCTCTGAACTCTAATTCCCCAACTATAAAATGACAATATTTGTTCAATAAGTATTTATTGAACACCTACTGTGTGCTAATGATTATTAGTATCAGAGTTCTAATTATCTTTAGAAATCTGCTAGCCCAGTCTTGGATATTACAGAAGAGGAGCCTAAGCCCCAAAGAGGGAAAGGGTCTTGAGCTAGGTCGCCAGCTAGAATCTGCTGCAGCTGTGGCTAAAACCAAGTACTCCTCACTCCCAGCCCAGGGACCTTTCCCATTCACACTTTGTGTGAATGGCCATTTATCTCTTTGATTGATTGTGGAAGGAGAGAGAGGGAGAAAACAGCTACTTTGTATGATCTGGCCTTGTAAAAAGATCATTTTTAGCCTGGGGAATTTATGCAGCAAAAATGTATTGCATGGTAGGAAAGCTCATGTTGGATTCTCTGCTCTCCACGTAATCCCCTGGACATTTTCCTGAGCACCTACTGCAGCTAAGAACCTGCCCTTAGCCCAGAAGAAGGTGGAAAGGCACAGCAATGACCCCCACATGGCACCCCCCTCAGGCATCTTCCATATGCATGGTGGGAGGAGGTGCGTGTAGGACAAAAAAGGAGTTAACAGCACAAAGGAATAGATGCTAAGTTCCTACTGATAACAAACATGTCCAATGCTGCAGGAAACAGGCAAGATTGAGTAGAAGCCAGTACTTAGACTTCGGTGGACAGCCCTGGTCTGCAGCCTGGCTCTGGCACTTTCAAGCTGTGTAACTTGGGGCAAGTTACTTCATCCTCAGAGCCTGTTTTCCTCATCTGTAAAATAAGAATTATACAAGTACCAGCTTCATAGAGTTGTGGTCTTCACAGTATTAAAAATAATAACAGCTAGCATTTACTAAGCCCTTACAGTGTGCCATTACAGTCCTCACGTAATTCTCCAAAAAATTCCAAGAGGTAAGTGTTCAGATAAGGAAACTGAGGCACAGATCGGCCCATTGATGCATATAGTATGCTTAGCCCATAGCCTGATCAAGGAGAAGGAGAAGGTGGGGGTGGGCTCTTGGCCAATAGAAGCCTGAGGAGGAATTTATGGGATGAGACACCAGCGGGCTTGTTCCTAGACAGAAGTGACCTTCAGATGCCCAGCAGGCTCAAGAGGCAGGCTGGTCTCAGCTTGGATTCTCCCAGAGCCAGGTATGCATCTGGGGAAGAAGGATCCTGAGAACATGGATGGCGTATGGAGCAATGTGCTGCTGGGGAACCAGGAAACTCTAATCCCAGCTCTGCCACAAGCCCACTGTGTAACCTGAATCTCAGCCTCCCCATCTGTACAGAGAGGGGTGAGTGCACTAGAACCTGGAGTCTCAAACTCAAATGCCTTTGAAAGGCAACGCGGGTGAAGAGGCCAGATATATGTCAGTGTGAGGGGAGAGGTGTGCCTGGTGAATGGGGGAAGAATCTTGTCCTAAAGGCATTCATATTCCATTGTCTAAAACCTATGCTGACCACAATGCATCTGCTGGCCAGACTGGGATGCCCCAGGGGGCTGAGCTCCTTGGTGTGGACAGTCTGAGGGGCCCCTCCAGCTCGGAATGGTCCAGGGCTCATGTTGTAATTCCAGGCGTTCCTTTCCTTCTTTCTTTCTTTTTCTTTATATATACATAACATAAGATCACCTAATATATAATTTACCATCTTACCTTAAATATACCTAACATAAAATTTACCATTTTAACTATTGTTAGGTATACAGTTCATTGGCATTAAGTACATTCACATTATTGTGCAATCATCACCACCATCCATCTCCAGAACTCTTTTCATCTTGCAAAACTGAAACTCTGTACCCATTAAACAATAACTCCTCATTCCACCCCACCCCCCGCTGCCCCCAGTCCCTGAAAACCACCATTCTACTATCTGACTCTATGAATTTCACTACTCCAGGTACCTCATGTAAATAGAATCATGCAGTTTCTGTCATTTTGTGACTGCCTTATTTCACTTAGCATAATGTCCTTAAGGTTCATCCATGCTGTAGCATGTGCCAGAATTTCCTTCTTTTTTAAGGCTGAATAATATACTTTTGTATATTTTGTGTGTGCACATTTTGTTTATCCATTCAGTAGACATTTAGGTTGCTTTCACCTTTTGGCTATTTTGAATAATGCTGCTGTGAACATAGTTGTTCAAGTCCCTGCTTCCAGTTCCTCTGGATATATACCCAGAAGTGGCATGCCTTTCTTCTTTATGTTCATGTTGCTTTCTCCCCTTCTCTTCTTACACTGTGATATTTCTTAGGTTCTGCCTCTGGAAAACAAGATGAAGGATGCCCGCCACTTCCCAGCCATCCTGTATTTGGGAATGTCCATCATCACTGCCATGTACATTGGCATCGGGGCTCTGGGCTACCTGCGGTTTGGAAATGACATCAAGGCCAGCATAACCCTTAACCTGCCCAACTGCTGGTAACTTCACAGGCCCGCAAGGGATGGGGACTCGGGGCTAGACGGGAACATGTAGGTTACTTCTCCCTCCCTTCCACAGATGCAAGCTGAGGTCTAGAGGGCCTCCACAGTGAGAAGCAGAGCTGCTGTTGGAACCCTGGGCTCTGGATTCTCTGTCCAGAGAGCTCTTCCTTCAACAACAGCCTACCATGTTGAGTGACGCTTTGATAGCTTAGTATGAAGAAGAACATGATTTAGGAAGAGAGGGAAGAAGTGAGAGTCCTCGGTCACCTAAGGAGAGAAGGGAGGGGCGCTAGGGGAGGGCAAGAGACACGGAGAGCAGAATCGGTGGGTGGCAACACCTCCAATTACATTTACTAAGGCTGTGTTACCAAGTCTTGCTTGCCACACCCAATGGTGCACATCTGCCAAGTCGGAGTAGCTGGGATGAAAAAGTAGTAAAACAGGAACCAACTAGGGCAGACCACTGTAAAAGTTTTATGTTCAAATGCACCCAATTTGTGCAACAGTTAGCTGACCCAGACTTCAACAGTGCCGTATCTAAACAGACCCATGACCCCGGATCACATTGCGCAGCCTTTTGTCCCCCACTGAGGCATGTCATTAATTACAGGATGCCTGTCTTTTTAAGAATCACTTGAAGGCTTAACTTGCCTAAATGGGGCTCCTTTCTCAAGCTGATAAGTGTCATTCATCAATCATTTACTGCAGATGCCAGTCTAGGCACATGGGGTGTGGAGGGTGCTGATGTGAGTAGACTGTGATCTTGAGCTTCCCTACCTTCTCCAGCTCGTGATCCAGTGGGAATGGGGAGAGGTAGATAGTGTATATACACTAATATAACATAGAACAGAAGAAAAAGCCCTCCAGAGTAGCAAAGAGGCCTTGGGGACTTCCAAGGAAAGAAAGTACATCAGGATGTGACAATAAGGAATCTTGTCCAACTCTGTCCAAACAAGGATAACTCTGGCACTCCTGGGTCCAAGTCCCAGTTGCACTGCCTCCTAGCTTGTAGTCATGGATGATTTACTCAACCTCTCTGACCTTTGCTTTTCTCATCTATAAAGCAGAGTTATCATGAGGATTAAGTTGGGCATGTCTAAAACTATCTGGCATGTAGTGCCTACTCAAAAGACAGGAATTTCAAAAAATCAGTGGAGTTTGGACGGATGGAAAATGGTGTTTCCAGGCAGCAAGACTAGTGTGACCAAGAAACACAGAAACGTAGAAGTTACCCTTTTTAAGGAATGGCCTAAACGCACGCACACACACACACACACACATACACGCACGCACACAGATTTATTAAACATGGGAGATGCGTCTACCACTTTAGTTGACTAAAGGAAAAAAGTCACATCTCTATAGGTCAAAAAGGCTTTGATAAAACTCAACATCCCCTGTCACATGCTCTCTTTGCCCCTAGTCCGAGGCCTGCAAGTAACCCTGCCTCCCCTTTTATCCCCCAACCCCCCCACCACAACCCTATTTGTAGACTGCCTCTTCCCCCAAGGATTCGGGATTCTGCACTTCTCTCAACCTACTAGAAGCATTTGTTGAGGGCCTGTTATGTGCCAAGAGCTTCGGGGGATCCAGAGAATTCCTCAGGACTGACAGAGATCACAAGGGACCAGAGTCTTCTAGAGTTTTCTTCTAGGGTTTTTGGTCTTCACCACTTATCGCTTGTGTCTCCCTGGGCAAGGTACCTGGCCTGAGCCTCTCTTTCTAAAATCTAAAATTGAGCATCAAGTGATAGTGGTCTGTGAAGATGTTGTATATACCCGTGCTCAAGATTCCTTTTATTTAGAGATAACTCTGTCACTGTTTCCATTCAAATCCATGATGCTTCACTCTATTTTCACTGCGTGCTCTGCCATTACTCCATCTTGGCTCTTAGAAGGCCCTGCCCCATTATTTCCAGACAAGGAAACTGCAGCCCAAGGTTAGAGGTTAATGCTCTGAGGAGACCGGGTATCAGAGCATGGTGGCCTTAGAGAGCATCGCTCTGGTTTGTCCCGCAGGCTGTACCAGTGGGTCAAGCTCCTCTACGTCTTCGGCATCCTGTGCACCTACTCCCTGCAGTTCTACGTCCCTGCAGAAATCATCATCCCCTTCGCCGTCTCCCGGGTGTCCAAGCATTGGGCACTGCCTCTGGACTTGTCCATCCGCCTCGCCCTGGTCTGCCTGACATGTGAGTAGAAGGCAGAGCGAAATGTTGCTCTCTTCCTGAGGTCTGTCGGGAATCCGCCAGATGGTAAAGGGTAGTCCTGATGACCAGCATTGATTGAGCACTAATTGTATTTCAGGGACCGTACTGCAGCTTTCCAACTAGTAACTCGTTTAAGCCTCAGAGACAACCTAATTCTTACATGTCCTTAATTAGACAGATTTACTGGTGTCTAGCCTGAGGGAGTGACACAGCTTATGGAACAGTAATCATAATGATAAGAGCTGATATTTATTAAACACATACTGTGTGCCAGCCACTGTGCTAAGCTCTTTTTAGTCCATATTTCACAGTATTTTATTTAGTCCTGCAGGAACTCTTCTGAGGTAAGACTCTGAAAAACCCTACTTTACAAATGAGAAAACTGAAGCAGGGAGCGATAAGCAATTGCCCAGGAAGTGGCAGAGGAAGTATTTGTACCCAGTTCATCTAAGTCCAGAGCCAGCGCCCTTCACCTCCAGGACAGAGGTTGAATATGGCAGCCAGTGAGTCTAATCCAGCAGCAGAGCTGTTGTTTGACCCTCACAATGTTGCAGAAATTTGGGCCCACATTAAAAATGTGGGAGATCTCACACACAAATCCAGATTTCTAATTTTTTTGGGAAACAAAACAAAATGATTTGGCAAGCCTAGGGTCACATTCCCCACTGGCAGCAGTCACCTGGACTTGCCCCGTGGACGGGCCCATGCTCACATGTTGTCTTCAGCTCACTCGCCCCCTCACAACCCTCCCCATGTTCCAGGCCCCATGATCCGGGGTGTCCTGTTTCTGCAAGTATTTTTGCTGGGGCAAAGGAGATGATAGAGATTCCTGCAGTGAGTGTGACCATGGCCCAGCTGTCCCTAAGCTTCCTTTTAATTGTGATCAAAGAATCTCTCACAGGGAGATTGTGGCTTTTTGCTGTAAACCAGCCCCTATAATTCATTGGATACTGATTGTCTTCGTTTCAAGTGATTTGTCCCCAGTTTACCCCAGGAGGCAGAGACGCTACCATTCAGAACCTTACAGATTGCAGAGAGATCAAGGAATTTGTCCCAAATATGAAGATGATTCCTGAAGCCTAAAACTACGGTTTCTGCATGCATTGCCCCAATCAGTGCATATGAGTAAATAAATTGAAATAATAATAGAGATAACTTTTCAAAATGCTTTGCATCAATTAACTCATTTAAAACTTTAACACCATTTGTAGTATGAACCATAATACCTAAAAGGACAGGTATCGCTTACCCCCATTTTGCAGATGAGGAAGCAAGCTAAGAGGTGGAGAGTTACCAAAGGCCACATGAAGAGAAACCAGAATTCTGACGTCCAGACCTGTTTTCCTTCTGTTATACCACACACTTCCTCCACAGGAGGCCTGGGGGAGGCTTCTGGGCTTTCTTGGTGAAAATTTTTCATCAAGTAAAATAAAATATGTAAAAGCCCAGGCCTGTAAAACATCCTACTAAAAAAATATAATTTCAAAATCTTTATCTTTTTGTGTTTTTGTTAGATGTTTTCTGACATGTATGTAACACCTGGAGACGACACTCTTTTAAAGAGATCCTGCGATCTTGTTCCAACTGAAGACCCCTATAAATATTTCCTATAAATAATTTCAGATTCTAATTGTTTGCACTTAAGAGGTGCTTGTAGTCATGTTAATTATTACAAAGTTAGTTCTACGAAGGCAGGGTTGTTTTTTTAAATTTTTGTCTGTTTTGTACATTGATATATCCCAAAACAGTTTCCAGCACTGTTATTTAAGTGTTATTTATTAAGTAAGAGCTTAATCATTGTTGACTACGTAGGGATTCAAAATTCACCTGAGTGGTGTAAAAATTATTTTAAGCTAAAAACGTTTGAACAAACAGCAGCCACAGGAAAAAAAAAAAAAAAAAAAAAACAGCAGCCATAAATCCCCTCTTTGGGAGGTTTTCAGACAGAAAGGAGACTAGCCATCATCACAGACTGAGTAATTGCTTAAATAAACTTCATCTGAAACTGTCATGCCTTCTCCTTGCTCTTGTGCAGAAGCTCTTTCTGCCCCTCTCTTTCTCCTTATGAAAGGGGTATATGAAGCCCTGTCTTTGGCCAGTTCATCTGAAGGCTCCCTAGACTGAATAAACTTTGTCTTTTCTCCTGTTAATCTGTCTAGTGTCAGTTAAATTCGCAGGCCCCCATTACTGAACCTACGTGGGTAGAGGGAAAGTTTTTCCTCCCAACAGTATGAATGTGTATATTTTAAACATGATTAGGAGACATACCAAATTTTTAATGTGTAACCTCCACTGAATGTTATTGGGGGTATGACAGGACTTTCAACGGTTTCTTTATGTAACTGAATGTATGAGAAACAACGAGTTTATGTTTTAAGAAAAGGATTCTAAAAAGAAACTTTAAAAGCATGGCTAATCCTGGGATGATCCATCTATCCCATGTCTCCTGCAGGCATCTTGGCCATCCTCATCCCCCGTCTGGACCTGGTCCTCTCCCTGGTGGGCTCCATGAGCAGCAGTGCCCTGGCCCTCATCATCCCACCACTCTTGGAGATCACCACCTACTACTCGGAGGGCATGAGCCCCCTCACCATCATCAAGGACGCTCTGATCAGCATCCTGGGCTTCGTGGGCCTCGTGGTGGGAACCTACCAGGCCCTGGATGATCTGATCCAGCCAACAGACCATCTCACCTTTTCCAACTCCACCGTTTTTTTTCAATGAGGACAGCACTGCTCCTTACCCACCAGCACCTGACTTTTAATGATATGGATCTCTTCTATATGCATTGTCTTTATTTTGCTGCTTTCCCTTTTCTCTGGGCCAAGTCATGGTGAAACAAGCAAGGACTCACCAGGTACAAGGTCTAGATGGTAATTTTTAAATTTTTTGTTTGTTTCTTTTCTTTCCTTCTCTCGCTTTCCACTACATTGGGAGCTCTCCCATGGAAGGCTCTTGATTCCATCCAACTTTTTGGCAATTTGCAGGATGAATTTCATACCTTGAGTGGGGCTATGAAGAAGAAACCACCAGGGGGCACCCATGTGGCAGCAACTGGCAGAAGGAAGTGCAGCCAGCTAAGGCTGACCCTGATTTGGTAGACAAAGGGTTCCCCCTTTTCCAGATCTGTTCAAAGAGCAAAGACTAGGATTGAGGATATAATCTATAATCCAGCAAGGTGTGCACAGCTCCAGCGTCAAGATGGATAGGGCCAAGAGGTCCAATGTGAGCTGCAACTCTCAGACAGAAAGGAGCCATCATATTTAAGTCAAGAGCAATAAACTTTCTAAACCAGTGGTTAAAGTTTTGTCCCAGATCAAAGATCCCAACAATGGATGGGAAGCATGGAAGTAGATGTGCCAATGGCAGAGGAGAAAGGGGTGGACAATGACCCAATTTGGCATTATTTACCTCTTAATTTTTGCAACAAGCCTTCTTGATTACCAACTGTGTGCCAAGCATAGTTCTTGTAGTAGATTCCAAAAATGGCCACAAATCCCTCTTGACAATGTGACTTTGCAGCTCCTCCCATCAAGAGATGAAATTTATACCTCTATCCCTTGAATCTGGTCTTGGCCTTGTGACTTGCTTTGGTCAATGGGACATTAGTACGTGTGATGCAAGCAGAGGTTTGGTGATGGCTTGTGTATCGGGACCTTCATCCCTTGCTGTGTTGTGGAGCCAAGACCACCAGGTAAAGAAGACTAAGCTATCCCAGTGGAGGAGAGAGACCATGTGGAATAGAAATGAATCATCCCAGTCAAACCCTGTCCCCCATATCAATCAGCCTGCTGACTTCCAGATACATGAGTAAAGCCATCCTAGACTATATCCAGCTCCAGTCAAGCTGACCCAGACCATGAGAATTGCCCAGATGACCCACAGAATTGTGAGAAATAATAAATGTTTGTGGTTTTAAGTCAAAAGGTGTGGGAGTTTTTAAGCAGCAAAAGCTAACTGATAAATCACTCTAAAGGAGATGCACCAATGAGTGAGAAAAGAATCCCTGCCCTCAGGAAGCTAGTCTACTGTCCACTGGGAAGAATGACAGGTAATCAACTAAGCTGATACCATCATAGGTCCTTATAAAGGCAGGGGGACACTACCTGCTCTGGAGTACTGAGGATGACTTTCCACAAGTGGTGCCATTGAGCTGGATTTTGAGTAGACTGGGGTCTCCCAACACTGCATCTGGCCCTCCTTCCACTAAGTCCTGCTGCCTTGACATTCCAGTGTCTTTTCTCATGTCTGACTTTGGCTGGCAGCCAGGGGCCAGTCAACCTGAGACACTACCTCAACCTTCTTGGTGATGTTTGCTCCCTCCCTCCCCTCTAAAATTGGGAAGATGCCCCTAGATAACCGAGTAGATATTATAGGCACATCTATAGTCCCAGGGAGGGAGTTTCTCATCGTACTCTCTGTGGTTTATGGGAGTGACTCATGCTTGTTTCAGCCTCAGTTTTAAGAGAACATTTGAAAAAGCCCTGTCTGTTTATTTTCAACTGTCATCCTCCCTGTGCAACCTAGGGAAGATAGGGGGACGGGAGGGAGTGTCTGCCCCAATTCCCGAGTCCTAGTCTGCTCCTTTTCTGTGTTACTTTCTACCTGCTAGACTTCTAGAAGGTACTTCATGAGCACAAGCCCTGCACAGGTTGGGAAAGGGCCAGCTGACTGCACCCAGATCCCTAGTCTGCAGAGTACCCGTTGGGAGATGGGACACTCCCACCTGGTCAGTGGGGTGGCTCATCATTTCTACCCTGCTCTTCTGTTTCCTCGGCTGACCCAAAGGATTGCCACTGATTGGTTCAGAGCGTGGCAAAGCCGTCTTCCTCTCTCTGAACTCGCCTCCCACCCTGCTTCGCTATCACCCCACCCATCCTTGCTAAGTTTAAGATTGTCTCCTCTGTTATGAAAAAATGGTCACTCTCATTCTCCAAGGACAAGCCCCTACTGTGTAAGATGATCAGGTTCATTTTATCGTTTAGACCAATCTGGCTAAAGTTAACTCTTGGAAAGAAAAAATAAATTTAGCGACATTAATGTAACCACTAAAAGCAAGCTGGGGAGACTCGTTAGTAGCTGTCAGCGACACTGAAGAATTTCAGCTGGCAGAATTGTGTTTGAGTGGTGGGAATATTAAAACTTTTTAATTGTTTGGTACTGATTTTTACACACACGTACTGGCTCTCCCCCCAAATTTAACTTACTGATTCTTTAACTTTTGAAATTTGCCCTTGAATCAAGAATCACAGAAAATCCTTCCTTTTTTCCCTCACTGAGCACTTATTAAGTGTTTTGTGTGGGATTATTTCATTTAATCCTTAAAACGACCCTATGAGGTATGTACTGTCATTGTCCTCATTTTCAGATAAGGAAACAGGCTTAGAGATATTAAGTAACTTGGTGAAGATCAAATGTAGTGACAGATGGGTTCAGGACTCTAACATTTATGCACCAACACCCCTCACTGCTTTGTAGAACCCAAAAGAGATCTTTAAATGGTGACAGTCAAAGTGAAAAATAGGAAAAATGTGTCCAGTGGATTATACATTTTTAAAAATTAAAAACCCAACAGGCTTTCTTTAGACATGGAATGAGGAGGGGGTTTGTGGGGACTGTGTGGTGAATCAGGAACAAAGCAGAGTTTCCTTGCCACCCTACAATACTGCTGATGCTATAGAAACTCTTCCCAGGCTTAGAGACAGAAGAAAGTCTTCCCTACTTTTTATAAAAAAGTGTCCTGATTCTGATACCAAAATCTGACAGAGCACACACAAAAACTATGACCAAATATAAATATAAATGCAAGCTCCTTAAAAAAAATAGCAAATAGAATCTGGCAGCATACGAAAAGAACAGTACGCCATGGAGCTTTCCCTGTGAAGGCAAAAATGATTCGACATTGATAAACCATCACCATAGACAGCATTTGAGATCAGGGAAGAAAAACTGGTCATTGATAGGTTCTGAAAAAAACGCATCAATAGAATTTCATGACGCAATTTTAACTTTCAAAGAAAACTCTTCATATTATAGAAATATAAGAAACTTAACATGATCTGAGGAGGAGGGAGAAGGCAATCTCAGAGGCAGCACCGTAATTAGCAGTGAAACACTAAAAGCAGTTTCAGCCAAGAGTGAAATTAGAAAAGGATGTTTGATGTCACTATGTTAATAACATAAAAAATAACATGAGGTATAAATTTTGGAAAGAAAGAAGGAATATTATTTGCAGTATGATTACCTAGAAAGCTCGGGAGTATCCACTGGATGCTGTTAGACACAAAAGGTGTCAGTGAAGTAGGCAGTAACAGAACAAAACCTGCAAAATCATATCTTTCCTATATGCTAATCACCATCAAAAAATAAAATGGGGGGCTGGACAGGTGGCGTAGTGGTTAAGTTCAGCGCACTGCACTTCAGTGGCCTGGGTTCGCAGGTTTGACTCCTGGGCACGGACATAAACCATTTGTCAGCCATGCTGTGGCAGCGACCCGCATACAAAATGGAGGAAAACTGGCACAGATGTTAGCTCAGGACCAGTCTTCCTCAAGAAAAAAGAGGAGGACTGGCAACAGGTGTTAGCTCAGAGCCAATCTTCCTCACCAAAAAAAATAAATAAAATGGGAAGACAGAAAGAGAAAACAAAACACAGCAATGGAAAACAAAAGCACCTAAAAAAAAAATTGTTTAAATGTGCTGTATCTATGTGAAGAAACTAAAAGTCTGCTGAGAAGCAAAAATCAAGACTTGGATAAATAGAGTCATAATGTGTGCTTTAGATGGGAAAACTCATCATGTAAATATGGTCGTTGGGCCCAATTTAATCTATCAATCTAACTTAATCTCAATAAAATGCCCAACTAGAATTCCTGGGGGTGGGGGAGGAATGCGGCAGATTCTTAAATTCACCTAGAAGAATTAACATGAGGGGGATAAAGGAAAATATGAAAAAGGTAAGGAGAGTGGACCTTTCCTGTCAGATATTAAGTATATTACATAATTACAACAATTTGGCATTAGAAAAAACTAATCAATGGAAAAGGAGAATACAAAAGCAGATCCAAGCATGTACAAAAATTTTATTATATGTTTAGTGTCCAGTCCAGCGGCATAGTGGTTCAGTTTGTGGCTCCGGTTTAGCAGCCCAGGGTCTGAGGGTTCAGATCCTGGGCACAGACCTACACACTGCTCACCAAGCCGTGCTGTGGTGGCGTCCCGCATACAAAATACAGGAAGACTGGCACAGATGTTAGCTCAGGGACAATCTTCCTCAAGCAAAAAGAGGAAGATTGGCAACAGATGTTAGCCCAGGGCCAATCTTCCTCACCAAAAAACAAAAAACAAAAATTTATTATATGTTGAGGGGAATCTTTCAAATAAAATGAGAAAAAGATAGGTTACTCAATAAATGATGCTGGGGAAACTAGTCAGCCATGTAGAAAATGAATTAACAACAACAATAGTAACAACACATTGGGTGCTGACCAGATGCTGGGCAATGTTCTAAATGCTGTACTCATATCAACTCATTAAATCTTCCCAACAATCTTCTGACATTGGTATTACTATTATACCCATTTTACAGATAAGGAAAATAAGTCACAGAAAGGTTAAGTGACTTGGCCAAACCACACAGCTAGTAAGTGACAGAGCCGGGATTGTATTAAGAATTAAAAATTAAATATTTAAAGGCAAAAAAATTAATAACTATTAAAAAAGTATGACATAACGAGAAAATATTTTATAACCTTGAGGTAGTAAAGGCCTTTTGATATGAAACAAAAAAAACAAAGTGAAAAAGATTAACTGAACTCAAACATATTTAAAATTTTGCATTGAAAAAGAACAGACAAGGGGCCGGCCCGGTAGCGTAAGCAGTTAAGTGCACGTGCTCCGCTGCAGTGGCCCGGGGTTCGCTGGTTCGGATCCTGGGCGCGCACCGATGCACCACTTGGCAAGCCATGCTGTGGCGGCATCCCATATAAAGTGGAGGAAGATGGGCACGGATGTTAGCCCAGGGCCAGTCTTCCTCAGAAAAAAAGAGGAGGATTGGCAGATGTTAGCACAGGGATGATCTTCCTCACAAAAAAAAATAAAAATAAAAGAACAGACAAAAGTAAATGATGATCCAATTGGAATAAATATTGCAGTCTATACGAAGACGAGGGGTAAATACCTAAATGCAAATACACAAGCTTTAATAATCCTCCCTTAAAATAACAATAGAAAAATAGACAAAAACACAAGCAGGCAATTTACAGGAGAAGAAATACAAATGTCTAAATTATAAAAGATGTTCATCCTCAATAGTAACCAAAGAATTAGATATTAAAGAAACAATGAGTCATTTTACCTATCACATTTTAAATATTAATAAAAACGGGCATTGGTAGAGTGTGGAGAAATTGAAGCTCAATTTTTTTGGTGGTTGTGTATTTGGTACAACTTTTCTGGAGGGCAATATGAATCAAAATTGAACAGAAGAATATTATTTGACCCAACAATTCTACTTCTAAGACTTCATCCCAAGGCAACAATCGAATAAACGCTCAAAGGCGTATTTATAAGGCTGCTCATCACAGTGTTGTTTATAAAACTGAAAAATTGGACATGTCCTCCATATCCAATAGTAAGGGCTTATTAAATAAAATAAGGCACAGGAAAAAACTATGCAAAGAAGCAACTGGAAGTCTCAAAAATTGCTGGTGGGAATGCAAAATGGTACAGTCATTTTGGAAAACGGTTTGGTGGTTTCTTATCAACATAAAAATACACAAACAATCCTCCTAAATCTTTACTAGAGAAATAAAAACATTTGGCCCCACAAAGTTCTGCCCATGAGTGTTTGTAGCAGTTTTATTCATAATCACCCAAATGGCCATCAACAGGTGAATGAATAAGTACATTGTGGTACATCTATACAATGGAATACTGCTCAGCTGTAGAAAGGAATAAACTACAGATGCATTCAACGACATGGATGATTCTCAAAAGCATTATGCTAAATGAAAGATGCTAGACTTACAAGCTTACATATTATACGACTGTATTTATATAACATTCTGGAAGGGGGCTACATCATAGGGATGGAACACATCAACGGTTGCCAGGGGCTAGATGTTGGAGGAGATGACTGACTACAAAGGGGTACAGGGAACTTTTTGCACTGAAGGAAATGTTGTATAGATTGTATGTTAGTTACAAGACTGTAGACATTTGTCAAAACTTGTTGAACTGTAAACTTCAAAGGGGTGAGTTTTTCTGGATGTAAATTATGCCTCAATAAACCCCACTTTACAAATAAAACACTCTCTGATCATTAAAAATGATTTCTTCTTGTGTTTTGTGAAGTGAAAACATGTATAACATATAGTAAGTGAAAAAGTTGTACTATCATTTCAAAGAGATATTTGCACACCCAAATTCATGCAGCATTATTCACAATAACCAAAAGGTAGAAGCAATCTAAGTGTCCATCAAGAGACAAATGAATAAACAAAACGTGGTATATACATACAATGGAATATTATTCAGCCTTAAAAAGGAAGAAATTCTGACACACGCTACAACATGGATAAACCTTCCAGACATTATGCTAAGTGAAATAAGCCAGTCAAAAACAGACAATGCATGATTCCAGTTTTATGAGATACCTAGAGTGGTCAGAGCCATAAAAACGTAAAGTAGGACGGGGGAGTGCTGAGGGAGAAGGGAGTCATTTAATGGGTTTGGCGGTTCAGTTTTGCAACATGAAGAGAGTTCTGGAGCTTGGTTGTACAACAATGTGGATGTATTTAACACTACTGAACTGTACACTTAAAAACGATTAAGATGGTAAATTTTATGTTATGTGTATTTTACCACAATTTTTTTTAAAAAGCTGTATTACACATTAAGTTGGTGGTAGAATGTGTGCAAGTGCTCACGTGTGCATGAAAACAGCACCAAAACGTTCACAGCTCTTCTTTCTGGATGTGGTGACTGTCACTTTTCTCTTGGTAGTTTTGAGTTTTGTTTTGCTTTGTTTTAAAATGAGCATAGCATTGATTATAATCTATCAGTGTCTCGCTTATTTACCTGTTTATTGTTATCTTCCTACTTCGTACTAGAGTGCAGCCTCCTTGAAAATGGGACCTCGGTTTGTCTTTATTGCTAACTCTGCAGTGCCGCATACAGAGGTGGCATTCACTAGTAAGTCTTACAGCAATGGATAAATGCGACGGGGGAGGGGAAATTATTTTCAACCTGAGAAAAAGTCTTTAGAGCATCAGAGGAGGGGGAGATCTCACTTGATATTCAGAGGAAGGGAGAGGCTCATAGAGTTGGTTCTGCAGCAGTACTAAGAGTTGACATGGCATGCACTTTGGCCCCCCATAATCTTCCTAAGTAGCTTTCCAGACCTTCGCAAACAAACACACACTGGAAGCACAGTGTGTCCGCGCTTGCTCTGCCGAGGCATCTTCAAGACTAGACTTTGATGATGCCAAGCTCGTCCTTGTTGTTACTCACACCAAAAATATTGATGTCATCTGTGACTCTCTCTCTTCCTTTTACACCCTGCATCATGTTCATCAGCACAACCTCTTGGCTTTACCTTTTAAAAACATCCAGAATTCAGTCACTTCTCACCATCTCTTTAAACCACTGCGACCTGTCACCTGGGTCATTGCAATAGCCTCTAGGTTATTGTAAAAGCCTCCTCATTACCTCTCTGCTTTTGCCCTTGCCCCCTTTCAGTCTGCCCCGACAAAATGGCCAGAGAGAGCCTGTGAAAATGCAAGTCTGTCCCTTCTCTGCTCAAAACCTTCTGTGATTCCTCATCTCTCTCAGAGTAAAACCAAAGGCATTACAGTGGCCTACAATTTCCTGCCCACCCCATTCCATCTCTCTCCATTACTCCCGCTTATGTTAACTGCATCTCTCGTGTGACCATGTTATTGATCACCCAAACCAAAAAACTTTTGATAATGAAAAGAGGCACTATTAATAATTATGCCAGGGCAATAAGCACAAACCAGCACAAAACAGTCCTGGGCCAGCCAGGCATATGTCCACTCTACTCACCTCCCTCTCCTTTGTGTACTTGGAGCCAGCCACATGTCCTTATTACCGTTCCTAAAATATCCCAGGCACCGTCCTGCCTCAGGAGCTTTGCGCTTACTGTTCCCCTGAGTTAAGTTTCTTACTCAAGATGTACACGGGGCATGCTCCCTCACCTCATTCAGCCCTTTACCCAAATGCCAATTCCTCAATGAGGCCCTCTCCAACCACCGGATCTAAAATTGCAAACCCCCTCCCCCCGGCCGGCACTCGCCATTCCCCGTTCCCCCATTATTTTTCTCTATAGTACTTATTACCACCTGACACACACTTGACATATTTGCTTTGTTTATTGTCAGTCTCCTCACTAGATTGTAAGTTCCATGAGGGCAGGGATTGTAGTAGGTTTTCTACCCTAATGTATTCTCAGCATGGAGAACAGTGTGTAGTATACATTAGGTGCTCAATAAGTACTTTTTGAATAAACAATTTTTTAAAGTTTACTTACACTCCCTTCCAAATAGATGGCAGTCCATACTTCCTTCCAGTGCAGAAATTCTGAGCAGGTGGCATTTGAATTGGGCCTAAAATCCACTCTTCAGCTGCACCCGGGGAAGGTGGTAGCTGGATTACTCTCCATTGGGCCACACCTGCCCCCTGGGGTCCTGTAGCACCTTATTGGCCAGGCAGCCCCATTGTGAGGTAGCTCTGGTTTCCTTCTTGCCAAAGACAGACGAGCACTGGGCCTGGCCCCACATCCAGGCCCCAGGACCTCCAGTCCAATGGTGCCTTCTTCCTCCCAGTCACACTTTCCCCTCCAGCACTAAGGGCTAAACCAGGAGGGGCTGACAGCCCAGGCGAGTCCTGGCGTGTGGCCGAGCAATCTTGAGGGCACCGAGGATTATCCTGAGATGAGACTCTCATAAGCCCCCCAAAGCCAGGTGAGGCAGAATCAACATCAGCGTCCCTGCCACCAGTGCTTCACTGGTTCACACACTTTGGGCTTCAGCCAGGACCAGGCACCCTCGGGAGTCAGGAGCCAGCATCTCAGGCCTGCGGCCAAGGTTTCTCTGGAGAAAAACCCATGAGAGGCTGGTTCAAGGCTCTTACAGGCCTTAACCCTGAGCCGCCGCCACCTACGCACCATGTTGAAGACGTCATTGCTTGGAAGGGACTACAGTAGTGAGCCCAACTCCTTGGACAACGGGGCCAAGTCGCTCTCAGAGAGTAGCAGCACCACCACTTCAGAGAAGGTCCATCCTGCTGAGGAAGCCAACGGATTAACGTAAGCGGCTGCACTGCTCTTCCGATCGGAGGTCGAGCACTGCTGCCTTCACAGCTCTGGGCCACGTCTTCCTACTGTTCTCTTCTTAGTACATTTATCCCCACTGAACAGGAGATGCGCGGACGAAAGATGAAATCTTCAGAATCCAAGAAGGTTGATCCATAGCTCTGGGTGTAGCTTCGGGTATTACACCTGTTTCCCAGTTTTTGCAAAGAACTCAGGTAGAGTAGCCATCCCCAACATGAGCTTCTTGATTCCAGGAACAATTTCTATCTTAGGCTGGCTGTTCTTTCGTCCAGTTTCAGGCTGCTCTCCTCTCCTCCTACACCTGCTATTATTCATATTCTCTCTCTCCTACAAACCCATCCAGGAAACTAAAAGTCACCGCCTTGCCCCATATCCCTACTTTTACTGCCATAAACTCAGACACATGGAACTTTTTCTTGGGACTTTATTGCCGATCAGATTATTATCTAGTATTCAGATCGTATAATAGCCATGGGCATAATGAGATTGTAAATGACAATACCCAGAGTTGATAAGGACATAAGGAAATGCCCTCTCTCACGTCCTTTTGGGAAGAATTAAACTGGGACTTTTCTAGACGGCAACGTTGTCATGTATGTCAAATCCTAACACGTACGTATACAAAACATACAAATACTTATTTGGCATATGCTTTCTTTGAAAGTACACACACACACAGACAAAACACAGTAGTGGTGGCTTCTGGTAAGAGAATTGGGAGACTGAGAAGCAGAGATAGAAGAGAAATTTATATTCACTACATAAGGTTTTAGGTTCTTGTTTTTGTTTTACCATTTGAATTTCATATTGTGTTACTTAGAGTTCTTTTAAAAGTATCATTAAATATAAATAAATATATCCTTTGACAAATAATGCCACTTCTAGGAATTTTTCCTACTGAGGTAATAACATAGGTATGCGTGATAATTTTATTGAAGCACTGGTTATAATATTGACAATTCAGAAACAATAAGAGATTATTTAAATAAAGTATGGTAGACACATACAGTAGAATACAATACAGCCATTACAAGTGATGAAGGAAATCTATGAATGTGGAAAAATGTGCAGGACACATTATTCACAGAGAAAATTAGTTTAGGATACAGCATTATAATGGTTCTCCTTGTGTAAAATTGTGTGCATTTAAAAGCAAATAGGGATGCCCAGAGGAATGTTAACCAAAATGTTAAAAGTGGTTATTTCTAATTGGTGGAATTTTGGTATTTCGTTCTATAATGGCAATGTATTGTTTTTCAAGGAAAAAAATATAAAGCTAATTTTTTTTAAAAAGTCCCGAGGGAGCTCTCAACATGCCTTTTACTCTCCAAGGCCCTGATCTATGATGCTGTTAGCTGAAACACAATGGTTTCTCCAAACCCTTGTCTCACCTTTCCCAAGAGATCTGATCTAAGTGGGGCAAGACGCTCCTATAGGAAAGAAGTGAGGGATGGAGGGCAGAAGGGGAGAGAAAGAGCACATCTTTTGGAGAAATTACTACCAAAGAATTGACAAAAGAGGAAAAATCAGATTTTTTTTTGCTTTGACGTATTTTCCAATTGCAGTTTTCAAGAAATAAAAGTTACCTCTTGGAAATGGAGGGATAACTAGTGTCCCCCATCCTTAGGTGAATAGACTGAACTAAAAGAGATGCAGGAAGTCACAGAGGTCCCAAGGGCCATCCTGTTCTCTGGACCCAACCCTCTCCCTGGTCCATATTGAAATGTAAAAGCCTGACATGGCCCTGACTCCCTAGCCAATGGGACAAAGACCTGGAGACATGAGCACTGTCTCTGCAGGACTGCCTGTGTGACCTTTCTAGGTCACCTTTCTAGGTTAGAAAGGAGGCCCTTTCTAACAGGTTAAGGCCAAAACAAAGGTGGTAGTGATGGTGACAATGATGATGGTAATGATGATGTTGCCTCATATCTGCAGAGCGCTCCACAATTCCAAGGTCAATCATGTCATTACCTCTTCTGATTCTTACCACATCCCTGAGAGGTAGGCAGGGCAAGAATCATTCCCTCTTCCTTTTTTTTTTTTTTTTTTTGGCAGAAGAAGAAACAGAAGATGTAAGCAGCCAAGGGGCTTCCCAAAGTAGTGACCAAACAAGTTGATTAATGGCAGAGCTAGAACTCAGAATCCGGTGCTCCAACCTCTGAGTTAGAGCTCTTTGCACTCAGCTTTTCATTTCACTCCTTTTTTTGGTTCTCTTCTCATGATCCTCTTCCCACCCCCTTACCTCCCCAGTGGATTGCTGGTGCCTGGGCAGGAGCTGCCAGCACAGGTGTGGAGAACGTTTAGAACCCTGGCACCTAGCACTCTCCCAGGCACATAGAAAGCATTCTATATGCACAGTAGCAATTGTTAATAAATTTTATCCCATCCATAGCATGGAATAAGTTCACAAGGAATACTGGTTGAGCCAATGGAAGAGGGAGTGAACTAGAACCAGTAAACACTCCATATGCGGTAAGAGATTGTTTTTCTGGCGAGTGAATTAATAAATGACCTGGCACCAATACATACTCTGTAAATTAAGGCAATTATTTTTAATTTTTTCATTGTCTATTTAAATGCCAGGTATGTAGTAGCTCTCAATAAATATTTTTTGAGTGAATAAATCCTGAAAGAAATTGCTTAATGAATTAATGAATAAACTGGTACTAGGGAGTTATCCAGAATTAGTAGCAATTGTTGTTAACTTGTTTTTTTAGAGCCTAGTGTGTGTTAAATGTCTGTTGAGTCAGCTGAACTAGCGCCAGTCCTGGATCAGACGTTCCAGGACAGATCCTGGGAGCTGAGAGCTAAACCGGAGTCCACTTCCTCTGGTTTTGTTCCTCTTCCCAACGGAGGGTGCTGGAGATGCTGGAAGGAGCCTGAACTGAGGTAACCTTTCGCATCCACTAACATACCCTCTTGTCTTCCTACTCTCCCCTTACAGGATGGTACAAACCTTGATCCATTTATTGAAATGCAACATTGGCACAGGGCTCCTGGGGCTTCCCCTGGCCATGAAAAATGCTGGCTTATTGGTAAGATGGGAACTAGGTTTACACTTTTAGGGGAAAGGGGTGGTGGGTCCCTAAGGCCTTTGCATTGTTTATCTACGGGAAGTTGGGAGTACCCTCTGCAATAGGAAATGTGCCTGTTGGCATCAACCCACTGCAACTAACCTGGAGCTAAATGGAGCACGCCTGGAGGGGATATGCCGTTATTCTTTTTTTATTTTCCAGTTTTATTGAGATATAAATGACATACAGCTCTGTATAAGTTTAAGGTATACCACATAATGACTTGACAATCATATATTGTGAAATGATTACCACAATAAGTTTAGTTAACATCCATCTCCTCATATAGTTACAAAGTATATATAGATATTTTTTTCCTTGTGATGAGAACTCAGGTTTTATCTCTTAACAACATTATTTGTACTATACAGCAGTGTTAACTATAGTCATCATGTTGTATATTACACCCCCAATACCTATTTATCTCATAACTGGGAGTTTCTATCTTTTGATGACCCTCATCCAATCCCCCCACCCCACCATTGCTCCTAACGACCCACTGTACTCACATACTGATCCAGAGTCTACTTAGCCACAGTCCTCCCCACTCCCTAAGATTTTATTCAATTACATCAGCAGGCTGGTTGGTCCTTGCAGGCATTTGAGGGTGTGGCTTCTGTTTCAAGCCATTTGATTGACTGTGAGAAAGTGGCTTCCCCAATTCCCCGAGGCTCCCTGTGCCATCCCTCCTCTGTCTCTTTGCTTATGCTGCTCCTTTCTCCCTGGTTTCTATCTTTTGAAATCTGCCTTCTCTGTAAAACTTTACTGTTTCCTATTAAAATTAATGCCACCCTCACCTTGTGTTCTTCTAGAACTTATATCTACCTCGCCTGGAATTCTTACAGCACTCACAAAGATGAGACTACTCATTTTTTAATCCTCACTCACTTGAGAGCTCTGAGGGCAGAACTCTCTGGTTTATCTTTACACCTCCCCACAATACCTGCTGTAGAGACCAGCACAGAGGAAGTCCCAATTCATGTCTATTGAATTGACTTGGTGCCAGACAGATGATTTCCATCCAGTTAATGCTCATTTCTCCTTCTCTCCAGGCCTGGTAAGTGGCCCCCATCTCTAAAGAAGACATATCTTCTTCTGACATAACTTCCAGTCTGTAGCAGTTCCAACCCAGAGATGGGACTCTCTCCTTTGGAATCCTCAGGGTTCTAGAACTTCTGAAGAGTATTATTACCACATAGCCCTCAGCCAATCTATCTTTGCCAGTGTGGTATTTGCTGCTTCACATAGCTCTTTTATCCTGGGATTTTTGCTTCCTAAGAGTCATTAGATGATTTCTTTACCCTCCATCTCCCACCAGAACTTCTGACCATGATTCATTTGAGACGTATATATTAAGCACCTTCATGTGCATTGTTAGGCCCCGGGAATATCAAAGTAAACAAGACAAAATGTCTCTGCTCTATGGAGCCTACATTCTAGTGGAATCTAGTGGTGCTCTTGATCTCTCATTTATTTCTTGTGATGGATAATGTTATCTCAGGCCACATCTATAAGGGCACGTGTGTCCAGCACAAAGGAGGTGAGAAACTCTATGCCTTTCTGATCACATTTGGGAGATTATGATAAATAAAGAGCACTGTTTTTTAATCTCATCACATGTACAAAAAAATGGAAGCTATGTGAGGAGAAGACACGTTCATTAGCTTCACTATAGTAATAATTTCACTATGTATATGTATACCAATCATTGTGTGTACACCTTAAACATACATAATTTTTATTTAAAAAAACAAAAGAGATATTGACAAATTAGACATACTAGAGCAGTGATTCTCACCTGGGGATAATTTTACACACCCTCCAAAGTCATTTACAATGTCTAGAGACATTCTTGGTTGCCACAACTCAGGAGGGGAGGGAGTGCCATTGGCATCTGGTGAGTAGAGGGCAGGGACGCTGCTAAACATCCTACAATGCACAGAATGCCCCTACAACAAAGAACCATTTGGCCCAAAATGTCAACAGTGCCCCTGTTGGGCCGGCCCCGTGGCTTAGCGGTTAAGTGCACGCGCTCTGCTGCTGGCGGTCAGGGTTCGGATCCCGGGCGCTCACTGACGCACCGCTTCTCTGACCATGCTGAGGCTACGTCCCACATACAGCAACTAGAAGGATGTGCAGCTATGACACACAACTATCTACTGGGGCTTTGGGGGGAAAAAATAAATAAATAAATAAAATCTTTAAAAAAAAAAAAAAACAGTGCCCCTGTTGACAACCCTGGACTAGAGGAAGAGAACAAAGTCCTAAGAGGAACCTTTGTCTTTAAACATCTTGGAGGTGGTGAGGGCTGAGGTGTGACAAAGGAATGAGGGATCTAGAAGGCAGAATTCAAGGCAGAAGAGGAAAGGCATGGGCTGCCTGGGGAGGTAGCGAGCTCTCTGTCACTCAAAGTATCCTAGCAGAGGTTGGGCAGCCACTTTGCAGCGATGCTATGAAGGGCATTCAAGCCAGAGCAACTGGACGCACAAGGACATTCAGACAGGGGCTCTCATCCCAGAGGCAGCTTTGTTATGAGAGGGCTGGGAGAAGGCGGGGTGTGGGAGCAATCAGTTTGTGGCTCACCATCCCCACCTCTCCTTTCCCCGCAGGTCGGTCCTATCAGCCTGCTGGCCATCGGGATCCTCACTGTGCACTGCATGGTCATTCTGTTGAATTGCGCTCATCACCTCAGTCAGAGGTGAGAGCCGTGCTTCTCTCTCACCCCAGAGCCAGGCCCCATCTCAGGGTGTGCTGAGTTTCTTTTGGCCACTGACCCAATTAGCTGACCACTTCTCCAGGCCTGTCCCTGCTGCTCTGGCTTCTAGAGAGGCGGGGGAGGGGGTAATAAGGAATCCCAGCTGGAAACTCCTAGGTCCAGGCCCAGCTCTGCTGCCAACCAGCTGAACGACTTTGTCAAGTTCCTGCACCCTCTAATCTAAATATCCGTACCTGGAAAGATCAAAAGTGATAACAGACGCAAACATGCTCCATAAACGGCCATGTGTATGCGAGATACTTAGGGATGCCCTTCTTTTCATCTTACCTCTCCACCTCCATCCTCCCCCAATATACACACTTTGTAAGAGTAATTTGTTCCAGGTAAACCCTTTTGGGGACAATTTAGTAAAAGTAAAAAACAGAGTTAGGATTAAAATGAATAGCTCACAACATCTTCAATCATTAATAAAGCATATATACAATACTCAATGTTTACAGATTCAAAACTTCAATGCAAAAACAATTCCAGAAAGAAAAGACAAATTCAAGGAACACAATGCTGAGAATTTCATAATTATAAACTAGCAGTTCATGGGTAATCCCTTACAGCCAACCGCCTGGTGGATCTCTGTCCACAGCACCCAGCTGCTCCTGAGGTGTGCAAACCCAAATGGGTCCTCGCAGATGTGCAGAAAGTCTTCTTATGTCAAAATAGAGATATTAAATGAAACTCCTCATAAAGCCAATTTATCAAACCCAAATAGGTGTATCTGGAGTGTATATCAGTCACCCCTAACTTGTGAAGCACTTTCCAGCTCACAAAACATTTATGAGAACATTTACTCATTCAGCAATTAAATTTATTGCACAATTACACCGTGCCAGGGTCATGGCGAGAGCTTTGCAAGCCTTCTTGTATTTCCTCCTCAAAGTAAACTTTCATGGTAGGCACCATTTTCATTCCCATTTTATAGATGAGTAAACTAAGGCTTAGATGAGTTAAATGCCTTGTCAGAGTCACACAGCTAGGAAGTGGCAGAGCCAGCATTCGAAGCCCTATCTGACTCCACTCCTTAACATTTGCATCTCTCTTCCCCGACGCCTGCTGGGACCATTACATCACTGTGCAGGCTTCTGACATCTATGTCATTAATGATAGCCTTTCCCTGATATATTTTTTGTTTTGGATGACTTGTTTTTCATTTTTTCTAATATAGAGGTTACAGACTGATGGCCTATGAGCTGACTATGGCCTTCAGATACGTTTTGAAGGACTTCCACAATTTTCGTTTTTGTTTTTTAGCCAATGTTTTAAACCTGGAGATTTCACATTAAAAAACAATCTCCACCTCTCCTTGCCAGTCAGAGAGTCTGGCACTTCTGGGGCTTCATGCCTTCATCGTGCAGGGGGGAGCCGAGTCCCGGTCAACCCTTTTTAGAATAGGCCACGTAGCCAAGAGTTTGCCACTGTCTCTGCTGTTCCCCATTCTGTCGATACCCAGCCCCTCTCACCATATTACTGATACCTGTCTGGTCCCCAACGCTTTTGAATTTGTCGCCCTCAGACTAATATATTTGCCAGTCCTATGCAACATGACCTTATTTATATTTGAAATACCAAGCACAGTGAATAATAATAAAAATAGAAGGATTGCGCCATGTTCCCAATGCATCTCCATACCCATCTCTCACTGTCTCCTCCCCAAACCCAGACAGCGTGTGAAAAAAACTGAGGCCCGGAAGTCAAAGAGACTTGCTCAAGGTCCACCAGCGTTCCAAGGGGGCATGCTGGGCTTTAAGCCCTGGTCTCCTGACAAGTCTGGGGCCCTTGCCCTCTCCCAGCTACTCCCCTCAGTCGTCCAGTTAGCACTGAGGATCCGGGCCCTTGGCAACCTGCACTGCCCCTACTTGCTCAGAGACAGTTCCTCAGCAGGGCCCCCACCCTCAGGAAGGGCTGCCTAGGGAAGAGCGACAAGATGGGCCGGAAATTGGTTGTCACATCCTACAGGGGTGCTTGGCAGGAGTCTAAGTATCGACTTTGTATAGAATCTGGTCCAAGGCTGGCATCTCAAATGTTCCAACTCCCTCAGCAGTTGGAAGGAGGGAATGAGAGTCCAGAATAGACAATCATGTCTTGGCCATACCCACATCCCCTACTTCCTCCACCCCTGCACACCTCACGCCTTTCACAGCCGCTCTTTCCTGGTTTGCAGACCTAAGTCAACGCACAGCTACTGTTTACTTAAAAAAAAAAAAATCCACTTAAACATTAGTGTTTAAAAAGACAACTACAGAAAAGAAAAACGTCAGACTCCTGACCGTTTTAAAAGTATACCATTTTAAAATATCTCCTTAATACCGTTGCTAGAGAATTACCAGAATGCTCCATGTTAACACACAAATATATAATCATTACTCACTTCGGAAGTAAATTGTACCTTTAACAAAAACGTTTTAAGTTACGCCTTGCTTGTCATTTCTCTAGACTGCAAAAGACTTTCGTGGACTACGGAGAGGCCATGATGTACAGCCTCGAAACCTGCCCAAACGCCTGGCTGAGGACCCACTCGGTGTGGGGAAGGTAGTGGTCAGAGCTTTCATAGTAGTAGTAAGAGTAACGACAACAACAACAACAATAATAATGATCCTCATCTTTATTTCTAGTTACACGGGTGTTAAATGAATATGTTCTTATTGCAAACATGGAACAATATAGAGAATCTCTTCTGATAGCACCGTCCCCCATCCCCTCTTCATCCAAGAAGTAATCACTGACACCTACTTAGTAACTATTCCTCTAGACTTTTTCTCTGCATGCACATGAATATATGTGCTTGAATGGAAATATATATTTTGTTTTGTGTTTTCTTTTACATTAATTAGAATATTTTTTGGAAATTTGCTTTTTGATCTAACAATATGCCTCTAATTTCTTTCTGCATTGGGACATACAGATCTACCTCATTATTTTTTAAGGCTCACCGTGTTCCCCAGTGTGGGTATATACCATAGCTTATTTAATCCATCCCCTAATGGTGAATATTTAGGTTGTTTCCTTGCTTGATAAAAAGTTTATGGTGTACAAAATATTTTCTAATGTCTTAGCTCCTCTGATCATCTCAACGACCTTCTGAGGTAGGCAAGGTGACTCTTTATTGTCCTGGAAACATGAGGTGACCGAGGCTTATAAAGATAAAATAACATGTCTAAGGACATAGACGTAGGTAGTGGTAGAGCGAGATTCCGCCAAGAACCTAACATTTCAGCCTTTCCCAGCAGAGCCCCTCAGGAGGTAGTGAATCAGGTGGTGGCTGCCAAGATCCCTTCTGCAGCTCCTCTCTTGGGACTCTCAGGAGGTCATCCATCTGCTGATCAGGAGTCACTCTGATTAACAGACAGAGGAGTTCATGGGGCAGTAATGATGAGTGACTTGCAGTTGCCCATCATTTGTCACCAAAGTTTATCAGTTTCTGATGACACCTTGAACAAAACTTTCAGGCAGGAAGGGTCCTTAGAGAGCACCATATCCATGCCTATTCAATGGAAGAAAATAAAGCCCAGAGAGGGCAACAAAGCTGCCCACGGCTACACAGGAATTTAGTGGCAGAGCAAGGGCTGAAATCCAGGCCATCTAGCTCCCACCTATTACAATGTACCATTTCCAACAAGTGAGAAAGAGTTGGGAAAATATTTAAACCAATGATTTGTAACTTTTTAGTGTGCTAAGGGATAGCTGGGGAGCTTGATTAAAAACTGCCCATTCTGAGGAAATGAACAGCCACTTCTCCAAGGAAGATATACAGATGGCCAATAGGCACATGAAAAGATGCTCAACATCACTAATCATCAGGGAAATGCAAATCAAAACAACACTAAGATACCACCTCACGCCTGTTAGAATGGCTATAATCACCAAGACAAAAAACAACAAATGTTGGAGAGGATGTGGAGAAACAGGAACCCTCATACACAGCTGGTGGGAATGCAAATTGGTGCAGCCTCTATGGAAAACGGTATGGAGATTCCTCAAAGAATTAAAAATAGAGATGCCCTATGATCCAGCCATCCCACTACTGGGAATCTATCCAACGCACCTGAAATCAACAATCCAAAGAGGCTTATGCACCCCTATGTTCATTGCAGCATTATTCACCATAGCCAAGAAGTGGAAGCAACCTAAGTGTCCCTCGACTGACGATTGGATTAAGAAAATGTGGTATATATATACAATGGAATACTACTCAGCCATAAAAAAAGACAAAATCGTCCCATTTGCAACAACATGGATGGGCCTGGAGCGTATTATGTTAAGTGAAATAAGCCAGAAAGAGAAAGACAAACACTGTATGATCTCACTCATATGTGGAATATAAACCAACACATGGACAGAGAAAACTGGACTGTGGTTACCAGGGACAGTGGGGGTGGGGGGTGGGCACAAGGGGTGAAGGGAGTCATATATATGGTGATGGACAAACAAAAATGTACAAACCAAAATTTCACAATGTTAGAAACCATTAAAACATCAATTAAAAAAAAAAAAAAACTGCCCATTCCATGTAGGCAGCAATCATCAATGGATGCTCAAGCCATTAGGTGACAGGTCATTGGGAAACTTTACAAAGGAAAAACACACTGACACCACCAGACCCCAGGTACCAATCTTAGCATCTCATGTTTAGACATGGGACCGCCATACATGATGTGTCTCATATGGGATACAGTAGAAATACAGAGAATACCTTGGAAATATTCTTGCCAGAAAGATAAATGAAGAACCTCAATCTAATCAAGGCACTAGATCTACTGTCAATTAACAGGAAACACAGGGGAGAGAGAAGCAAGATAACCGAGATTATGAAGAAATCATCAACAAAATCTAGAAAGTGGGACATACTACAGGACAAGTTATCTGGTCTCTTTACACTAACCAAAATAATTAACAGTTGCAAGGAAAAAAAAGAAAACAGGGCAAGGGGAACATAGCAGCTTAAAAAACCTGAGACTTAATAACAAAATGCAATGTACACACTTGTTTAGAAATCAATTGTAAAATAGACATTTTTGAGACAATTGGAGAAATCTGAATATGGACTGAATATTAAATGATATAAAGAAGTTATTGTTAATTTTGTAAGGGATGATAATGGTATGTTGGTTATGTATTTTCTTAAGTCCTTGCCTATTAGAGCTGCATACTGAGTTATTCAAAGGTGAAGTGAGTTGAGGTCTCTAATTTGCTACAAATATTCCAACAAAAGAAGCACGTGTGCGGTGGGGGTGAAGGCATACATGGAAGAGGATTGGCAAAAAGTTAATAATTGTTGAAGCTGGGATGAGCACACGAGGAGTCATTGAATTATTGTCATTGCTTTTGTATATGTCTGAAAATCTCCATAATAAAGAGAGAAAAGATATCTCCATTCTGAAGTCTCACCTAGCTTCTGACTCAATAGGCTCGTATGAAAACCAGGAATCTGTATTTTTAGCATAAACCTCAGATGATTCTGGTGCAATTGGTACTACAACCTAATTTGAAAAACACTCATCCAAACGTTAAAATCTAAGTAGAGAAACACATTTTTGTTCCCTGAAAAAATAAATGTATCTCGAAATTTGGGACAATTTAAGAATCCAAAAGAATAATGACAATAATGGAGTATAATATATTAAATTAAAAAATAATTAATGTGAGTTAATTGTGATACAAAAATAAGAGGAGAGAGGACAATATCTTTCTTAAATGCCAACTAATAAATTTAGAAAAAATGACAGAATTGGAAAACCACTTCCTTGCAACCACTGATGAAATAATTGATTCAGACAAGGATCATTAACGAATGCTAAACCCTTGGTTTGAGGGGAATAGGATATTCATGCCATCTCAAAGTTTTAGCCCCAGATTACAAAGAGGGAAACAGACATTTACCATGGAGAGGTCTGGCAGTCGCCACCACGGTGGAACCACAGGATGTGCTTCCTACTATGACTATAAAAAGTACAAAATATCACCTATGTGGTATGCTTGCCAAAAGTGCTTACCTGAATCTAATCACGAGGAAACAATCATACAAGTCCACAGTGTGGGACATTCTACGAGACAGTTGGCCTGGACTCTTCCCAAAAAGCCAATGTCATAGAAAACAAAAATGGTGGATGTATACAAGGCTGCTCTACATGAAAAAAAATAGAGACGTAGCCAAATGCAGTATATAAACTTTGATGAGATCCTGAATCAAAAAAATAAAAATAAAAACAGAGCCAGCCCCATGGCGTAATGGTTAAGTGCGTGCGCTTCGCTTCTGGCGGCCCGAGGTTCAGATCCTGGGTGCACACCGATGCACCACTTGTCAGGCCATGCTGTGGCAGTGTCCCATATAAAGTAGAGGAAGATGGGCATGAATGTTAGCCCAGGGCCAGCCTTCCTCAGAAAAAGAAGAGGATTGGCAGATGTTAGCTCAGGGCTGATCTTCCTCACAAAAAACTAAATAAATAAAAATAAAAACAGCTATAAAAGATATTTTGGAGAGAATTGGGTTATTTAAAATACGGACTATAAATTTGAGGATATTGAAGTTGATTTTCTGGATATCATAGTCTTAAGAGAGGTATGCTGAGGTAGTTAGGGTTGAAATGTTATGATATCTGTAATCGACTTTCAAATGGTTCTGAAAAAAATGCGTGCACATGTGTGTGTGTGCATGGAAGGATGAGTACATAAACACATACATAAAGCAGTTAGGGCCAAAAGTTAAGAATTGCTATATCTAGTTAAAGGATATATGGATGTTAATTATACTAGTCTTTCAACTTTTTCTGTGGACTTTGAAATTCTCAAAATAAAAAAAGGTGGGGGAATATTAAAAATAATCACAGAAATAATTGTTTCAAAAATAAATAAATGCATGTAAAAATTAATTTGTTTCTTCCTCTGTCTGCCTCTTCTTTTCCTTCTCAGGTACACTGTCAGCTTCTTATTAATCATCACCCAACTGGGCTTCTGCAGTGTTTATTTTATGTTTATGGCAGACAATTTACAACAGGTAAGGAGGCTCTGCCCTGATCAGACCACACTTGGGAGTTCCCTCAGTCCTGGGAATCATGTTTTAAAAGGCTCATAGAGAAGCCAAAGCAACATCTGAGGAGTGTAACCAGAATGGAGAGAGAGGCTTGCAATCATGTCCAATCAGAAATACCTGAGAATTTTGAGCCTGAAAGGTGTTGGTGAGATTTACTTTAGATATCTCAGGGCTGTCAAGCAGATGACTAACCAGACAGAAGGCAAACCAAGCTGCAACCTTGCCCTCATTGCATTCCTAACAGGCATTATGAATCACTCACAGCATTCTTCCTTGGCTTCATGGAGTAGAGGGAACGTACTTGTTTTCGTGCACTCAAACAGCCAGAACTATGACAAGAACTGTAGATGGAATGTTCCAACAGATAGACTTTGTTCAACATTCAGATCTTTCTAACTAAAAGCTATCTAAAGTTGAAGAAGATGTTCTTGTGTAGTCAACTCCCGTTCTCAGGATGTATGAAAGAAACCCATTTGGTAGGGAAGAGGAGGTTGGTCCAGATAACAAAAGGACCCTTCAGCCTTCAGATTTTATGATCCTAAGGGTTTCTGGTTGTCACAATCATGGGCACTCTGTTGGGTTACCAGATTTGGCAAAAAAATATATGACACCCAGTTAAATTGGAATTTCAGATAAGCAGCGAATAATTTTTTTTTTACTATAAGCATATCTTATGTAATACATGGGACATACTTTACTAAAGAGTTACCTGTCACTTATCTGAAATTGCAACTTAACTGGACATCCCGTGTTCAGTCTGGCAACTCAACTACACCGCCCCTCCTTCTGCTCTCATCAGATGGTGGAAGAAGCCCATGTGACCTCCAACACCTGCCAACCCAGGAAGATCCCAGTGCTGACCCCCATCCTGGACATTCGCTTCTACATGCTGACGATCCTGCCCTTCCTGGTCCTGTTGGTGTTTATCCAGAACCTCAAGCTGCTGTCCATCTTCTCGACGCTGGCCAACGTCACCACCCTGGGGAGCATGGCTCTGATCTTTGAGTATATTGTGCAGGTCTGTGCCTGAAACTACTGCAGAAGGGGGTCAGTGTCCAGGGCTTCTGAGACACCTGGAGAGGGTCCTTATCATTACGGGCAGGTGAAGGTGAGAAGGTGACATCCTGCTCTGAGCAGCCCCTGCTAAGGTGACATCGGTGAACACTTCTGCCCCACAAGCTATAAAAGCTAGTCATCGTCATCATCATTGTCACACTGGATGACAATGGGTCATTCAACAGGTAGTTATTGAATACCTTCTGTGAGCCAGGCATTCTCAAAGGGCTGGGAATTCAGTGGTCAGTAAAACTGACAGGGGGTCTGCTCTCAAGGAGGTTACATTCACTTGGGGGGATAAACCTCGAGCAAATAACAAACATAAATTGCAACAGTGGTAGGTTGACAAGGGCTACACGGATGATAAAGGAATTTGATTTACTTAGTGCCAGGTTCTTTACATATATTAACTCGTTGAATCTTCACAATGATACTATGTTGGAAGTATTACCTTTATCCTCAGTTTACAGACAAGCAAACTGATAAACAAAAAGTAACTTTTCCACTAATTCCAGTCAGTTTGCTTCCCAAGCCCACTCTATGCTATCGTCACAGGCCCTGAAATTCCACCATTGTAGTTTCATTTCTTTGAATCTGAAAGTCTCTGGGGTTGTATTAGTTTCCTATTGCTGCTGTAACAAATTACCACAAATCCAGTGGCTTAATACAACACAAATTTGTCTTACAGTTCTGGAGGTCTCACTGGGCTAAAATCAAGGTGTCAGCAGGGCTGTGTTTTATTCTGGAGGCTTTTGGGGAGAATCTGTTTTCTTGCCTTTTTCAGCTTCCCAAAGCTGCCCACATGCCTTGGCTCCCGGCCCTCTTCCGTCGTCAAAGCTAGCAATGATAGGCTGAGTTTTTCTCATGCTGCCATCTCTTTGATTTTCTCTTCTGATTCCCTCTTCCACTTTTAAGAACCCTAGTGACTACATTGGACCCACTAAGATAATCCAGAATAATCTCCTTATTTTAAGGTCAGCTGATTAGCAACCTTAATTCAATTTGAAAGCTTAATTCTCCCTTGCCATGCAATATAACATATTAACAGGTTCCAGGGATTAGGACGTGGACATCTTTGGGGAGCCATTATTCTGCCCACCCCAGGAGTCTATTAAAATAATCATTTCCTCCCGTGATAGCTGCTGTACCAGTTAGTAGACTGCACAGCTCTGAGAGAAGTGATGGGAGAGAGGCGTTAGAGAACTGGAAAACTGGAGGCCTGAATTTATCTCTGGGCTGTGACACTAACTTGCAGAGTGGCCTCAGGCTATTCTCTTCCCCTCCCTGGGTCCCACTTTCCCCACATGTAAAGGTGAAAGGGCTCCCAATAGCCAAAAGGTAGAAACAACCCAAATGTCCACCAACTGATGAATGGATAAACCAAATGTGGTAAACACATACGATGGAATATTATTCAACCTTAAAAAGGGAATTAAATTCTGATCTGTGCTACAACATGGATGAACCTTGAAGACATTATGCTAAATGAAATGTCAGTCATGAAAAGACAAATATATGATTTCATTTATATGAAGTACCTATAATAGTCAAATTCAGGGAGACAGAAAGTAGAATAGAGGTTACCAAGGAGCTGGATAATAGGCAGTTATTATTTAATGGGTTTCGGTTTGGAATGATGAAAAACTTCTGGAGACAGATAGTGGTGATGATGGTGCAGCAATGTGAATGTACCACTGAATGTGCCACTGAATTGTACACTTAAAAAAGCTTAAAATGGTAAATTTTATGCTATGTATATTTTATCACAATAAAAATAAATAAATTTTTAAGAAGATGAGAAGGTTGACTCAGCTCTATATATCACATGGTGCTCCTAACACGGTCTCTATTGAGTTCAGATGCGGCCCAGCTTTCTACCAGGCAAAGATTTGGGATAATTTCTATGCCATGGCAAAGCCAATGCTCTTCTTCTTCTTCCTTTCAGGGGATTCCAGATCCCAGCAGACTACCCTTGATGGCAAGCTGGAAGACCTTCTTGCTGTTCTTTGGTACAGCCATCTTCACATTTGAAGGCGTCGGTATGGTAAGATTGATGTGGGGTTTGAGTGAATGGTCCCTAGGGCTCTTTAGGGAACCCAGTCACTGTTCCAGAGGTCTAAATAATAGTATTTATGAAAAGTGCAGAATATAATCTTCTCCTGGTGGAGGGAAAAGTTAGAACCCATTCACAGGGCGCCAACTGGTCCATGCACCACACGAAGCCTTGAAGACTAAGTGAGAATTGACTCATCAGCCCAGTTGGAGTAGGGCACCCCTGGCAACGGAAAGCATGGAGGAAAATGAAAGTGGGTGTGGCCCCTTCCTGATCCTCTGACCCTGGGCCATCCAGAGAAGGATGTCCGAGCTTGTGGGGGAAACTACTCCTTCACAAGGTGCCACATCTTTTTCTACCTTTTCTTTTGCAACCTCCTTTCATTTCCAGGTGCTGTCTCTCAAAAACCAGATGAAGCAACCACAGCAGTTTTCTTTTGTTCTGTACTTGGGGATGTCCCTTGTCATCATCCTCTACATCTGCCTGGGGACACTGGGCTACATGAAGTTTGGGTCAAACACCCAGGCCAGCATCACCCTCAACTTGCCCAATTGCTGGTATGTCCCTGACTGCCTGGGGTGGGGAGGGGAGGAGAGTCATGGGATCTGAGCCTTAGCAACAGAATGTGGCATTCCCTTGGGTTATCATTAGCAACAAATATTAACTGCTAATATTAGTACTATGATAGCAGGTAAGTTTGATAATCCAGGCACTGGGCATTATCTCATTTAATTCTCACAGCATCCCTCTGAGTTAGCATTATTATTATCAATTCTATTCAATAGATGAGGAAGTTGATGTTTCGAGAGGCTGTAAGTAACTTTCCCAGCTCACATTGTTGGTGAGAAACTGGAACTTGAAACTGAATCTGTCTGACTCTATGCTTCAAAGGCTCTAAAAAAAGAATGATCTGGAAGAGTTAGGCAAACAGGAACAGCAATCACAAAAAGCATAACTCCAGAGTAAAGATTGAGGTCCCATAGATGGACCACTACTTAGGACCCCGATTCCAGAAATGGACCTAGGCTGCCATTGCTATGCTCTAGTTGGAATCTGGTCTGGAGTTCTTGCATTTGATCATTCATTCATTTACTCATTCATTCATTCATCCAGGAAACATTTTGGGGGCTGGTACATAGTAAGCACTCAGCGAGTCTTCGCTATTATCATTGTTCTGGCAGCATTGGGTGCCTAGTGACTAAGCAGTCAGTAGAGCCAAGTGTTTAAGAGCACAGGTGCTAAAACTGAGTAGTGGGATTTGCATCCTGGTTCTTACATGACCTTGGACAAGCTGCCTAATCTTGCAGACCTCATTTCTATTCTCTGTAAAGTGAGGATGGCACTAATGCCCCATTTGTATCAGACAGGATAGACTATTATGCTCCAGTTATAAACAACTCCAAAACCTCAGTGGCTGAACACACACAAATGCTTAATTCTATAGTCATGCTACACGTCCATTATGGGATGGCTGGGGCTCAGCTCTGCACCATCCCTCCTCCAGGACCAGACTGATGGAATAGTCACTCCCTGAAATGTTGCTGGCTGCCATAACAGAGAGCACAATGAATCATGCCCTTTAAAATGAAGTGACAGACATCTCTTCTGCTCACACTTCATCAGTCAAAGAAAGTTCCATTGGGGCCAGCCCCATGGCGTAGCAGTTAAGTGCACGCACTCCACTGCTGGCGGCCCAGGTTTGGATCCTGGGTGCGCACTGACGCACTGTTTGTCAGGCCATGCTGTGGCAGAGTCCCATATAAAGTGGAGGAAGATCAGCATGGATGTTAGCTCAGGGCCAGTCTTCCTCAGCAAAAAGAGGAGGATTGGCATGGATGTTAGCTCAGGGCTGATCTTCACAAAAAAAAAAGAAAAGAAAAGAAAGTTCCATGGCCACACTTCACTCCAAGGGGCAGGGAAGTGAAATTCTACCAAGTGCCTGGAAGAAACTGGAATTGTTTGGTGAACAGCACAAATGACTGCCATGCTATCTCAGGGAGTGACTGTGAGGATTCATTGGTTTAACATACATAAAACGCTTAGAAAAGTGTGTGGCCCATAGTAAGCACTCACCAAGTGTTAGCTATTACCACTGTTAAGTCTCCCCACAGCCTTGGTCTTTCAGAGGCTAGGAGGGTGATGGGGCATTCATTCCCACAAGGCCACAGCTGTAAAATGAGAAAAATATCACCGCCCCACCCCCACCCCATTGTGCTGTGGTAATGACTAGATGAGACAGTAAACGTGGAATTTCTTTGAAGTCGTGACTTACGTTACACAAGTAAGACGTCATCCTAACATGCTGTTCTTATTCTGGGCAATTTGGGCCTCTACTAGCTACCTTGGGTGGGGCACTCTCCTTCCACGGCCTCAGCTGGAAAACATGGTGCCATGAGGACTTCACACTTGCTGTGAACTTGGCTGGTCATGAGACTCTCTAGAGGAGCCTTAAAGAAGGGATAAACAAACATCCCTTCCCAGTAAGAAAAAGACCAATAGCCAAGAAAAAATTGGCATGAGCAAACAGTTCATAGGCAAATCCAAAAAACGGCATTTTGTATATTTGAAAAGATGCTTTGTCTCCCCCATAATAACAGAAATGTCAATTTTTAAAAAACACAGTGGCAAAGAGCAGCATGTGTTCACACACTGTTTTGGCAAGGGTGTGCGCAGAAGCAAGCACTCCAATGAGCTAGGACAGTAAATGGGCAAATGTCAATAGTTATCAGAATGTTAAATCACACATACTTCTACCCAGCATTTTGCTTCTGGGGTTGTATCCTACACGTGCATAGATACATGTACAAGGATAGTCTTTGCAGCATTGTCTACTGGCAAAAGACTGGAAATGATCTAAATATCCATGAATTGGGGACCAGTCAAAAAGTTATAGTATATCCATGCAATTGGAAAACCAAGGAGCTATTAAATAGAAGAGGCTGAATTATGTGTACTGATAGGGAACAATCTCCAAGAAATATTTAATGAACAAAAACAGAGCTCAACAGTGTGTGTGCGTGTGTTGGGGTGTGTGCACGCATGTGTGTGTGTGTACCTACATTCTATATAAGCTTGTATATATACTGATTATTTCTGGAAAGACTACAAGAAAACTGTTAGAGGGGTTGCCTAGGGAAAAAGGAACTGGAGACTGGGAATCAAGCGTGGGAGGGAGGCTCTTCATTGCATGACTTTTGTACTATGAATTGTACTCTCTGCAGATGTAGCTTTTTTAACAAGTAAAAGAAAAAAAGGCACAGATTCCTGAGCCACAAGTCTACTGAATCAGAATCTCCAGGAATGTTCACTTTTAATAAGCTTCCCAGGTGGCTCTGATGGCAGGTCAGGCCTGAGTCAACAGAAGTTAGCCAGTTCTGTAACTCGATGACAAATACCAGCTTCTGAGCAATGAGTGAGTCCTGAATGGCTCTGCCACGGAGCCACATTGAATTTCACATCCTATCTACCTGCCTGCAGGTTGTACCAGTCTGTCAAGCTGATGTACTCTATCGGCATCTTCTTTACCTACACTCTCCAGTTCCACGTCCCCGCCGAGATCATCATCCCCTTTGTCATCTCCCAGGTGTCAGAGAGCTGGGCACTGTCTGTAGACCTGTCTGTCCGCACAGCCTTGGTCTGTCTGACCTGTGAGTAAGTTAAAGAGTACTCTTTGCCCAAAGCTGTGGCTGGGATCCACAGCGGCATCTACTCCACTATCATTGGCTCTGCCACTTGCCTTCTTTGTGACCTTGAGCAAGATACTTCACCTCCCTGAACCTCAACTTCTCACCTGAAAAATGGGCTCAACAGAGCTCTCACATAGTAAATGTTACAGTAATCTCTACTGCCTACACATAGAAAGTACACATTGGCTAGTTTATGGAAGAAAGTTTCATTCACTCAGTCACACTCCTGTATGCCTCCTGTTTGCCAGGCACTGCACTGACATTAATACTCACGACAGCCTAGCAATGGAATATTACCAACTGAGAGAACTAAGGCCAGAGAAATTAAGCAACACGCTCAAATCATATAGCTGTGAAGTGACAGAGCTGGGATTTGAATGCAGGTCATGTAGCACCAAAGCCTATGTTTTGCATTGTGCCATTTTCCTTCTTATCAAAAATTAAGGTCAAGTCCCCTATCACAAAGTGATGTTCAACTGTAGGGAAAAACCCCAAGGGGCTGATTTGTTAAAGTCTTGGAGATCATTTTTTGGGTGTACTCTTTTCTTCTGCTTTCGTCCCTCCCTCCCTCCCCTCCTTCTTGCTTCCTTCCATTCATTTATTCACTCATTCATTCTACGTTACATGCTATTATAGATGTTTGGGAAACCACATGAACAGAGCTGAGGAATTCTTTCTCTGAAGCATGCCCAGAGAAGGAAGATCAGAAAAGGTGCCCCATGAGGAATGAGGGAAAGAACTAGGGATGTTTTTCCAGAGAAGCGAAGGCTTGGGGCACTTCTATATCTGTCTTCAAACACCTGTGGGATTATTGTGCAAGAGAGAGAGCAAGTTTAGTCTTAAAGGCTTCAGACATCAGAGTCTAAAGTTAAGGGAATCCAGACTCAGTTCAGGGCCAGGAGAAGCTGTGTGAATCTTGGAGCAGTCCAGAAGAACATGCTATCAGATATTACACTTCACGTAACTGGAGTTGTACAAGCAGAAACAGCGTACCTGCTTGGTTTGAGGTATTACAGAGAGTTCCCAGTCTGTACCAAGACATCAGGAACCTGCAAACATATTGTTCTGAGATCATTCCTAATAGGAAGGGTGTAAGTTGAAGAGAAAAAGTGAGTAGTTCAGGCCACTCGGGATGAAGGAGGGCATCACTAGAGAGAGCTGACCTTCTAATGACAAGTCTTGCTTCTCTTATATGCTGAATGACCACTTCCTCCTCCTCTATTCGTCTGTCAATTCCATTATCCTTCATTCATTCAACAATCATTTGTTGGTCACCTACTATGTGCCTGACATTGTGCTAGGCACTGGAGATACAGTAGTGAATAATGAAGAATATATGGCTCCTGCCTTCAGGAGGCTTACAGTGGAGGAGGAAATACATGCAAGGAAATAGTTACAACACATTGTGATGAATGTTAAGATGGTACATAATGATGTACCATATGATGGTTAAGATCAAAAGAAGAGGATACCCCAAGAACACATAAGAAGGTCCTGTAACTTAGCTGGGGCCAGGTCAGGGAGTCCTTTCCAGTGGAGTGATATTTCAGTTAAGACCTAAAAGGTAAGCAGGAGGTAGATGGAGGAGTGAAGAATGTACCACGTGTAGGTAGCAGGCTCTGCACAGATCTGAGGCAAGTACTTACATATGGCCTCTTTGGAGAACTAAAAGCAATGGGGAGTGATAAGACATGAAGCCAGAGATTTGGCGGGGTCCAAGTCCTAAGGGACCTTGTGCTAAGGAGATTGGGAATTGGGGAGCCATGTAAGGGCTCTGAGCAGTGGGTTGGCATGACCAGATCTGACCCTTCTGGAGCACTCCTCCGGTCTACCTTGCCGTATAGCTTTCCTTGAACATATCTTCTCTGCCCTGTCAGTGAGAGCTCTCCTGGAGAACAGACACTGATTTTTCTCTGTGCCTCCTCCAGCAAGCAATTTATTAAACATCCAATGATGGAAAGCTGGGATAGGGACCATCCCATCAGAGGGGTGATAGATTCTCAACTGTGAGAGTCTGTAAGTCTCTCCTCATTCTCTGATTGGATGTGTTGGAGTGATTTCAGAAAGAGGTGATGTTTTCTTCAAGATCCAGCAAGCTAGGATGGGAGCTTTCCAGAACAGGTTTTCCGTAATTTGTTCATAGGAAAATCATATGGCTGCATAAAGTTAAATCGGATAAATTGTATATTTATTCATTCAAACATTATCAAAATTGGACTCCCCTGGAAGATCCATAATATATGTTCATCATATGTATAAAAGATGGAGATTTATAGACGAGAAGAGATGGGGAGTGAGCAGCCTAATGCTGTCTTCATGTTTTATGTCCTCCTTAATTACCAGGATCCTTCTGAGAGTAGGAAAACAAGTGGTTGAGATTCTGACAGCAAAGGGCCAGCTCTCATTTTTTATCTGTCCTTGCTTCTAGACAGTGGCTATATTATGTAGATAGTACAAAGGTTGATTCAGTGTCTGGGCAAGAGCCAAGCATTTATTGAGCACTTACTGTGTACCAAGTTCTTTCATATACATGGGAGGCAGTACAGTAGAGTGGAAAAGGCCTTAGATTGGGCATTTCAACGGATTCTCGTGTCAGCTCTGTGTGACCGTGGGTACATCCCATTCCCTCTAGAGCTCTAGATCTTTCCATCTCTACAATGAGAAGCTTATAATAGATAGGTGGTAGAGGAGTCTTTCCAATAAATATTATATGTGAAAAACACAAGAGATAAAACATAAAAGGAGAGCATCTATATTGGCAGTTAAAACAGAGATGGGAGTCCAGAGCTGCAGTCCCTGACCCACAGCTCAAGTCTGCAGGGGGCTCCTTTCCACCTCTCCAAAATGGTGTATCAGGCATCTGTGGAATTATAATGGTCCCAAGAAATGGTTTGTTTCTGAGCTCCCTTCTTGCAAAAACATTCAGTGATTCTAAATTTCTTTTCTTTCACTGCAGGTGTCTCAGCCATCCTCATCCCCCGCCTGGACCTGGTCATCTCCTTGGTGGGCTCCGTGAGCAGCAGTGCCCTTGCCCTCATCATCCCGCCCCTCCTGGAGCTCATCACCTTTTACCCAGAAGACATGAGCTGTGTCACTATTGCAAAGGACATCATGATCAGCATCCTGGGCCTTCTGGGGTGTGTATTTGGAACATACCAAGCCCTCTATGAGTTGACCCAACCCATCAACCATTCCATAGCCAACTCCACAGGTGTCTATGCATAACTATCTATTTTTATTTTAATAGTTCTCCCTTCCTCCCATCCCCAATTTGATTTCCATTGTGGATGTTATATACATTCATCAAACCCCAACATCTCTATATTAATTAGCCGCTTCTTCATTTTTCCAAGAGAAATGTAGATGACACAAGTCAGTACTGATCCCTCTCAGGTTGTGCCTTTTTGGTTTGGATATCTTTGGAGGTCTTTTGTATCTCTGAACCAAAACCACATTCAACCATTTGTATTATCAGCCTCATTTATGGGGAAAAGGGATCCCGGGAAACAGAGACCAATCATGAATGCAAGTGCAAAGTCAGTGGTCTCTACTCTTCAGTAGCTGCCCTTTAAGTGTCAGATTTAGAAAAGTATATGTTGGAGAAAGGGGGTTTTCTATATACTCTTCTAAGTGGAAGAGTCATATACAGAACAAAACTAGAACTTAGCAGTAATTTTGTCCAACCATTGGCTGTGCCACTGATGTCCTATGGGATCTAGGGCAAGTTCCTCCCTCTCTCTGTGTCAGTTTCCCTGTCTATGAAATGAAGGATTGGACCTATTGGTTATTAAGGGCTCCTCCAGCTCTGACATCCTGAAAGTGAAAAAAAGAAAATAATTTATCCTTTAACCACAGGGGTAAAAACAGAAGGGTTTCCCATCAGCAAGTTAGCCTGTTGCCCTAGAGATAGGCATACCAGAAATAGGTTACGGGATAAACACAGATTTCTCAGTAACCATTCATTATGCTGACTTCCCTACCTAGAAGGACATCACCTCTCTCTCTCTTTTTCCTTCTCTGGTATCTTAAGGCCACTTAGAGCTGATTTAGGCTGAAGGGGCTGAGCAGTTTGTGTGAGGGAAAAAGATTTCATCATGTGAAAGGACTACTGACCTACTTTAAAAAAATAATACTTAGTTTTGGGAAGGGTTTTGAAAAACAGACAATTTTATCCTCTGCAGATGGCAGTATACATTGTTATGCCTTTTCTGAAGGACAATTTTGTGATATATGTCTTAAAATATGTAAACCTCTGACTCGTCAATTTCACATCTGGGAATTTATCCTAAGAATATTTTATGTTTGCAAAAATGTATACAAAAGGAGAGTTTGTATTGTTTATAACAGTAAAAAGTTGAAAACCAACATCCAACATGAGGTTAAATTTTGTTCATCCAGAATAAAATGCTATGACACCGCCAAACATTGCAAAAATACACCTATTTGTGATTTATCAGTGGACAAAAGCTGGTTAAAAACCCTATGGGAACCAAAACTAGACAAAGACATTACAAGAAAATAAAGCTACAGACTAAACTCCTTCATGAACATAGATGTAAAAATTCAAAACAAAATTTTAGCAAATCAAATTCAACAATATGTTAAGAGGATAATACATTATGACTAAGTGGGGTTTATTCCAGGAATACAGGGTTGGTTTAATATTTAAAAATCAAAGTCATTCACCATATTAACAAACGGAAAAAGATAAAAATGTATGATCATCTCAATAGACACAAAAAAGCATTTGGCAAAATCCAATGTCTATTTCTAATATAAAACTCCCAGCAACCAGGAATAGAAGGAAACTTCCTTAACCAGTAAAAAGCACCTGTGAAAAACTTATAACTAACACCATACTTGATGAGGAAAGACTGAATGCTTTCCCCATAAGATCAGAAACAAAACAGAGCTGTCTACTCTCACCACTTCTATTCAACATTGTCCCAGATGTCTAGACAGTGAAATTAGGCAAGAAAAAGAAATAAAAGGCATTCAGAATGGAAAGGAAGAAGTAAAACTGTCTTGATTTTGAGGATGGTTTCCTAGGTATGTGCATATATTTCAAAACTTAACAAATTATTCACTTTAAATATGTTCAGTTTATTACATATCAACTATACCCCAATAAAACCATTAAAAATAGAATGTATGGGCCAGCCCGGTGGTGCAGCAGTTAAGTGCGCGCGCTCCGCTGCGGCAGCCCAGGGTTCACTGGTTCGGATCCTGGGCGCGCACCAACTCACCACTTGTCAAGCCATGCTGTGGCAGCGTCCCATATAAAGTAGAGGAAGATGGGCACAGATGTTTGCCCAGGGCCAGTCTTCCTCAGCAAAAAGAGGAGGATTGGCATCGGATGTTAGCTCAGGGCTGATCTTCCTCACACACACACACAAAAATAGAATGTAAAGCATGATTCCATTTTGGTTCTTTTTTAAAAAGCAGTCATATGCATATAGTCAAACAATTTTGAAGGATATGCAGAACATAAAAATGTTATAGGAATGTTCTCCAAGTGAGTTGAATTATGAGTGAAATTTTATGCTTTTTTTTTTTGCTTGCCTGTGTTGTTACATTTTTAAAAATAATGTTAAAATTTCAAGTGAGGTGAAAATTTAATGATGATTTATTTCACTCTAATGGAAACACCATTTTTAAAAAACTTTTTATAGTGAACTCTAAGACCCATATGGGAAAGTAGGCAGCATAAATCTACAGTTTAATGAATATTTATAGGTAACATCACTTTTCAAGTTCACCTTCTATTAGCTGATTGATACTATGGCTTGAATAACAGGAATCCCAGCTGGAGTTAGCAGATTTCTCATCCTGCAATGCATCATCATTCATTTACCAAAGGTCAGATGTCAAGCAGCAGCCTCTTGGAGGAGAGGTGAAGTAGCTATGAAGGAGGGAGGTGAAGGGGAGCATCCTATCACTAGATAAAGAAAGCTATCAGCCAATAATACGATCTTTGCTCTTTTGGGATGCAGACCATGAGCCTGGAGAAGGTGAGGCTGCAGGGAATAGATAGAAGCCTTACTATAGAATATAGAGCAATAAAATGCAGGTAAGACAGGGGTTTATGACTTGTGAGAGGTCTTACACTTTGTTGAGATTTTAATGGAAGCTATGGATCCTCTTTCCATCTAATTCACATATGTGTATACATGTTAAATTTTGCATGAAATTTCAAGAACAATCACAAACCCCATGAAGTTAATAAACCCTGGGTTGCAAAAGAATCTCTGGAAAAAGGAATGCAAGAATTTCTGCTTCTCATAGCATTGAACAATCTGCAGATGGTGGCTAGCCAACTCTGCCACTAAGGTTTGAATGCAGAGTAGGGCAATATGTAAAATCAGATTAGGGAGGTAAGCTAACAGACAAGGAAACTCAGGCCACCATGTGACTGGTACAAAACACACTTTCTGACTGCAGCCAGCACCCTGAGATCACTGATAGGACTCAATTGGTCATTCCAGTTGCAGCAATGTAAGCAGAATTCTCTGCTGCCATATGCTTCTTTGGCAAAAACTGGGACTTTGTAGTTGGAATAGAGATATTTGGGAGGATACAGAATATGTAGGGGGATCCCTGACCCCCAAAGACCTTCAGAACCATTTCCCATTGCACTTCTGTACTCTACAAATGTGATTTGTCTTGACTTGATTGAGCTGGACTATGATTGGGGCGTAGAAGGGAATGAGATGCAAAATAAGTTTAAGGAGAGGCTGAATTCAGATCTTCGACAAGGCCATTGAAAGAAAGAGTTGAGATTGCTAAAGAACACAAGCCCTGCATGGGGCGGGGGGGGGCAGCAGAAGTCACCCATGTGAAACTGAGGCATTAAGAGTTGGCTACCAAGTGGGCTTAAGTGACGTAAGTGCAATGGTTTATAAGCCACAGTGTCCCTGGGAATGAAACTGACAGGCAACTCCCTAAGGGTCTACAAGAGTTGTTATTAGCAACAATGCCCAGGCTGTGCCTGACTCAACCCACACAGGAGCCCCTGAAGCATTTCCCTGATCTGAGTTTAAAGGTCAAAAAAAAAAAAAAAAACCCCGCAAAAAGGCAGAACCTCTACCTGGCACGCTAACACCACTTGGAAGTGAAATTGCAATGATATGACTCTCTTAAGAGACAATTTCAGAGGCCCTCCAACTAAGGAAGTTGAACTTGCTGGTCAGGGAGACTCACACGTGAACCAAATGGCCCTGGGTGATCTGGCGTCTCCCCACATCTCCAGCTTCCTGCATCAATAGCATCTTTTCCTCCCAACCACCAGCCTTTGTCCAGTTTCCCAAAAGCAGCTCCCTCTCACTGCAGGGCTTCCACATGTGCTATTCCCTCCATTTCGAACTCTTTTCCCTTCTCTTTACCTACTTCATTTCGATCATTTTCAGATCTCAGCTATCACTTCCTCAGGAAAATCCTCTCTGAATTCACTAACTGATCCAGATTCTGCAATCCCCGATACACTTCTATTGTGTAACATAGCACAGTTGTGGTATTTACTTGCATAAATGTTTATCTCCCTTCCTGTACTAAAGTTACATGAGAGCAAGCTCATATCCATTTTTTCCCTCAAAATGGGAACTTCAGCAATATACTTTTATAACTTTTTATTTTGAAAAATCTTTAGGCTTAAAGTGGCAAAAAATATATGGAGAGTTCCCATGTACTCCTCACCTTGCTTTCTCTAATGTAAACATTGTTAAAAAACAACAAAATTCAACTGAGTAAATTTAAAGATCTAATTGGCTTTATTCAATGATTCATAAATTGGGCAGGATCCCATCTAGCAAATAGAAAAGAGCTCCAAAGAGCTACAGACAAGGGAAGGTTTTTAAAGGCAGAGAGGAGGTGGGACAAGGAAGGCATATATGAAAAAAAGGATTATTTTGAGCAAGATCACTTTCCTTTGGGGGACAAAGAGGGTCTATTAGACATATTACCTCATTAGTGCTGACCAGGAGATTCCAGGCCGACCGGTTAAGACTGCATTCCTGAGGAATGGTGAAATTGCAATTAGGTTAGGTATTAAATCATGGTTTGGTGACTTGGGCTTAGCAGAACAATTTTGGGCCTGTTGTTTCTTTTTAACAACATCTTACATGACCATAGTACAATTATCAAAACCAAGTAATTAACATTGGTAAAATCCTATTTCTGGTTATTTTCTAATCCAGCATTCAATCCAACATCTCACAATGCATTTAGTTGTCATATTTTTTATTCTCTTCCAATCCGTGACTGTTCCTCAGTCTTGTCTTATTGTTGATGATCCTGGTACTTTTGAAGAGTACTGGCCAGTTATTTTGTAATGTCTCTCAATTTGAGTTTGCTACCGAGCAAGAAGGCCTGTTGCCCAATGCGCGTAAAAAGCCAAAATTATGGCACCGGTTTTTGAGGGAAGAAAAGGCTTTACTGCAAGGTCAACTGGCAAGGAGATAGGAGGCAAGGCTCTCAAATCTGTCTCCCCAATCCAGGGTTTGGGGCAAAATTTAAGGAGTTAGGGGCTACTAAGCTACAGCTGTGCCCATGTAAGCTGATTGACTAGTCTCGAATCAGTCCATGTATGGTAATCAAGCTACTTGGGCTGCTGGAAGCCAGATTTTCCTTATTGAAGGACTTCTTGCTTCGTAAAGGGCTCAGGTGGCAACATTTCTGAAGATTCTTGGTTGCAGGGTCATCCTGGGGCAATAGGTTTCTGCCTAGCACATGTGCAGTGCTGTCTCTGTTACTGAGCAAGGTTTGATTAATCAACAACCTGTTTTAAGGAAGCAAAATTAGCTTCTGTTGGTCAATGTTTTATGTGCTGTTTCAATTCCCCTCTTTGTACAGTCCTCAA